ATCAGGTTCCAAGGGAAAGAGAAGTCAGAGCCGTGAGGACAATGAACGTGGCAGTGTTAGAGCCGCGAGAGTCGGCCCGGGCGGCCTGGCGAAGGCACACGGCCAGCGGTTGTCAGGCTAGGTAGGATCCTTCTGAGACCTTCCGGCCTGTTTACGAGAGCTTTGCTGTAATGTCCGGAAACGGCTCTTGTTTCAAACCGACCTGTCCTTGGCCCGCGTTTCTCCTGAAACCAGAGGCCGGTCACGTGCGACCGCTTTGACTTTGGCTGCTGGACACGGGAGCCGGCGGGCTGGTGTGGCTTGGCCCCTGCTGTCCACCAGGCGAGCCCTGTCGACCTCCCAGTGTCGTGTCTGCTGAAGGACAGCAAGCTGCCAGCCGCTCCCCGAGGCCCCGTGACAGACGCCTACAGCCTGAGGAGCGCTGGGCGGGGAGCAGACAGACATCGCGTTCCTGCTCCCCTGGGCTCCGAGCTCACCAGTGAGCACCCCTCTCGGCCACGGCGTTGGGATTGTGCCCCCACAGAGGGCTCTGTCCCCACAAATCCTCGTGTGGAAACCTGGCCCCCAGGTGACAGTGGGGGCACAGCCTTTGGGAGGTCACGGGGTGGGGCCTTTGTGAAGGGACTTCCTCCTCCTCGCGGGTGAGCCCTGCCGTCCCCGAACCCCAGATCGGACGGCCCCTGACCTTGGACTTCCAGCTGCCAGAGTGTGAGGAGCAGATGTGTGGTGCCCACTAACCCCCAGGTTAGGCGAGCTCCGTGGCAGCGGGCTGCATGGATGGAGAGTGGGGTGTTGCCTGGGGTCCCCTGGCCGAGCAAGGCCCCTGGGGGTGGGGAGGGCGCCCATCCTCCGCTTCAGCGCCCTGTGGCTTGTGCCTCTGCCAACAGGTGCAGGTGGGGGAAGGGCCTCCCAGGAGAGCCCCGGCCTGCAGACGTGGCTGGGTGCCTGCGGGGCTCACACGTGGCCCCGGGCCTGGGGGTGCTGCCGGCGTCTGGAAGGGGTGAGGCCAGAACCCGGCTGCAGCCCCAGAGTTGCCCCCTGCGTTCCCGTTTGCTGGGTGCTTGCACTGACAGCTTTAGGTGTTTCTGTCTACTTTGTCCCAGACTTCTGCTTCTCAGTGTCTGCTCCTGGGGAGATCACTTGAGCTGCGAGGCCTGGCCGGTGTTTGCTGTCATGGTTCTGGGGCACTTTCCTCGCGCGATCCGGATCTGATTCCCACCCCAAGTCTGTGGCTGACGTCAGCGGCCAGCAGCACTTGGCGGGTCTCCCCAAGGCGGGTCTCCCTGAGCCGGGCACCGAGGTGGGGGAAGGGCCTGCGTGTCGGGGCTCAGACTATGCCGCTGGGGTGCTTGTTCTGAGTCCTTCTCAGGAGGAGCCCCCCAGCTGTGTGCCCCTGGGATGCTGCTGTGAGGACGGGTGTGCAGTGTTAGCAGACTGACCTGGAGGTCAGTGGACGGGATGCCTGTGCGACCCCTCGAGGCCCCGCCTAAAGCCGGGTGGGGGACCAGAGGGGCTGGCCGGTGGGAACAGCACCGGGCAACTCCGGGCCGCGCGTCTGCCGCACAGGCCCATTCCTCTCCCAGCAGAGGTGGAGCGCGACCCGCCGGTCAGTGCAGGTCCTGAGCACAGCCGTCAAGGTCAGCTGACACTTCACTTTCCCCACCAAACCGAGTCGAGGCAGTTCCCGGCGCACAGAAAACAGCTTCTCAGAAGTTAAGTCCCCCAGGCTCCCGCCCGTCCGCTCAGGGACGAGCCAGTCAGAGAGCTTAGGAATGTCGAGGAGCCTGAATGCCTCACGTGGGGCGTCCGCCGTGGGCAGAGTGGGGAGCGGTGACCGGCCTGGCCGCACACTGGGGCCAGCTGGTCCCTCTCTTCCAGGGAAGCGTCTCCCAGACGAACGAGCCTTGTTCAGAACGTCATCCTGCTGCAAAGAGGGTGCGCGGTGGTTTTCCCTTGTGCGTCAGGGGCTCGGGGTGGGGGCGTCTGTTCCACTCAGGCTCCGAGGGCACAGCTGACGCAGCAGAGAACAGTGTCCCTCGTGGGGCGAGGGCAGGCAGGCTCTTCTTAGGGGGCTTTGAGCAGAGCCTGGGGGGCAGAGCCCACCCTTCCCACCAGAGCCCAGCAATCTGGTCCGCAGACCTTTGTGGCTCCGTGGGGCCTCTCTGCCCACTGAGACGGACACTGCCGTGCTCGAGGCCTCAGAGCTTATATGCGGAAGGGTTCCAAGTGCTCTTTTCCTCTAAAAATGCACACTTGACATATTTTGAGAAGAAAACAGGATGATCCCCCTGTGGTTTGGGGGCTCCCCCCGTGCCAGGAAGGACAGGCAATCCCTAGAGGCCGTCACCTCGCCCTGTGACCCAAGCTGCTGGCAGAAGGAGACCCGCACTCAGCCCTGGTGGGGACAGGCCCAGAGTCCCACGGGCGAAAGGAGGTGAAGCCTGACGGCAGTGAGATGTCCAGGCAGTGACTTGAGTCACCTGCCTGAGTGATGACGTGGAAGTGTTGTCACCGCCCTACACGGAGCCTTCGAGCACGTCTGTACCCGGCGTGGAGGCGCTGAGGCAGGGCTTACAAATAAAGGCAAAGAAAGCAGAAGTTCAGGAGTGAGTCGTCTGAGCCGTGCTCCCGCAGGGGGACCTGCTGGTTCTCCTGAACCCACCCCCTCGCAGAACTCCCCCCTTCCCGAGGAAGACACTCTTCAGGTGCTGACGCTGGGGACGGGTGGCATGTCCCCACCGGAGGTCAAGTGCTGGGGACATTCTTTGTCTCCCACTCGTCCTTAGTTGACAGGACGCCCAAGGGCGTCCGATCCCTGGGACAGTTTTCCCGCAGCGAGGACCCGCGGGCCTTCAGCCTTCCTGCCTCGGCACAGCGCCGTCGGAAGAGGCTGCCTGGACTCGGGAAGGGGAAGGTCTTGGGTCGGAGCCCGTGCACCTCCGGGCAGCCGGCAAGCCTCAGACTGTCGCCTGGAGCCCGTGTGAGGGCCCGTGGCCGGGGAGTCCAGGAGTCCGGGGAAGTTCGAGGGGAGCGGTCGGGCTTTTCGGTCAGAGGAACCCAGGCAGAGTGCGAGCTTGGGCCGGTTTCCTGCTTACAGTGGGGTGACATTCCTTCCCTGGGGTGTGGTGGCCTGGACTCACGCAGGCCTTTTAGGGTCTGTCGAGTCAGGGAAACCCTGTTCTTGACGTTGAAATGAGGTGTGGACTTTGGTGACCCGCAGGGAGTCTGGTCAGAGAGCTTCCCGAGCCCGACAGAGCCGGCAATAGCAGGATTCTCCCGAGACGTGGTGACATGGTGTTTGAAGACAGGGTCTCTTCGCTGGGCCCCAGGTCCTGCCTGGCTGGTGACAGGGGAGAGGTAGGGGCTTGGGGAGCGTGGACGGGGTCGGGCACGGGGCCTGACACTCCTCCCCTTGTTCATCCAGAAGGGAGTTCCAGGAGAGGGCGCGGTGGCTCTGGGTTCCCAGCCGGAGGACCAGCCTCCGGGGGCGGAATCAGTGGGGGAGCAGGGGCCTGGCGCCCCATTTCTGCCCTGAGAAGGCAAAGCCATCAGTACGTCCCTAAGGCTCCAACACGTCCTGCGTAAACTTGAATGCTTCTTAGGTCTTTAAAAAGGGCACCTGGTGTTAATCTGAGGCTGATCGAGTTTGCCTATTCTTTCCACTTTTCCGTAAGTTTGCAGTTATTTCCGAATAAAAGGTTTAAAATGCTAGGACCGAGCGCATGGCTTCCCTCTCCCTGATCAGGGGTTCGCAGTGAGTGCTGGAGACATTGTGGGCCCAGCCCCTGGGTTCTGCTGCCTCCAGAGCTCAGGCCCCCCCAGACGCCGAGGGGTCCCGCCGCGCCGGCCCGCACGCGCATCCTTGCACTCTCCTTCCGTCCTGGGCTTGGTTTTGGCTGTCCTCTGACTGCAGGTGGCCGGTGTCCTCAGGGCAGGCCCATCTGTCCCATGCGGGGCGTGTGCATCGGCGTGGGGGGGGGGTGTGTGTCACAGATGTGGGTCTGAAGCCGCGGGGTTTGGCGTGTTCACTCGGGGGCCAGGGTGACTGTCCAACAGACGATAGAATCAACTGACCAAAGGCTCTTTCCCACAAACTTGTCACCGGCTGTTAGCACTTCCCAAAATCATGATTTTAAGATGCCAACAACCTGGGGACAAAATGTGGGACACCAGGCTGCGGGAGCACAGGCCCCAGGGTGCAGGGTGTGGAGCCAGACATGGAGCCAAGGCCCAGGGTCACCCCAGATGGCGGGGCTCAGGCAGGGCTCATCCCGGCCTCTGGACCACCGGGCCTGCAGGCTGGACGCCCCTTCCTGTGGCCTGGCCCCTCTGGGCCAAACAAATCCCTCGGGACGGGGACAGCACGGCGGGGCCTCGAGGGCTGTACCTGGGTCCGCCGGGCACTGGCTCCCTTCCCCGGCCAGTCCGGCCTTGAGCCTTCAGTCCTGTGTCTGCGGCTCCCGGCCTCGGCTCCGGCTCCCCTCTCCCGGCTGCCGGCTGCGCTCGCTCTGGCTTCTGAGCAGACACCGAAGGGCTTGGGTCGGGCAGGCAGCCTTGGGACCCCCGGCTTCGAGGTTTGCCCTGTCAGTGGGTGTTTGCCCAGCTCGCCTCCTGCTCAGCACATCAGAGAGAAATTTCCTTCAAAGCCACTTGTTCTGAAGTGGGGGGGGGGGTCCCCTCCATCCCGCGCTGCAGGAGCCACAAGGGAAGGCCCTCCCTCCGCGCCTGTTTCCTTTCTCAGACGAGCAGGATCTGTGGACGGGGCTTGTCCTTGCAGGCGAGGCGTGACAGTCACCCGCGATCACTCCAGGCTCCCTCCTTCCCAGCTGGCTGGGCAGCTGGCGACGCAGAGCATGAGCCCCCGGGACTCAGAAGGTCGTTCCTGGCAGGAGATGGTCAGAAAGCCTGATTGCTACCCCGCAGGGCCTTCAGGCAGATCCTCTGGGCTGTGGGACTCGTGGTTCTGGTTTATCATGAGAGACACGGGAGTAATGGGGTCGGGGTGGACTTGTGGCTAAGAGAGCAGCTTTGCGGTTGGGACTGACCACGCTGCACAGACGGTGGGCGGCACGGTGCCCTCTTCCTCCTGGTGGCCACAGCTCCCCATTCACAACTGCTCTCCACACGTGCAACGGGCCAGGAGCAGCCGGCCTCTCTGGAAAGGGTCAGGGTCAGCACACTGGGCCTGTGGCCACCTGGCCTTGCCACAGCTACTTAGTCCCCCCGTTGCAGCACAAAAACGGCCACAGACCATATGTGACAAATGAGCATGGCTTTGTGTCAAGAAAACTTTATTTACAAACTCAGACGGTGGGCGGGACATGGCCCGAGGGCTCTGAGGCCAACCCCTGCAGGAGACACACAGACTTTTGATCCGAGTTTTAGGGACTTAGAGTCCGATATTAGTAAGTGTGGTGTCTTAATGTTCATTCATGTGGAACGGTTAAGAAATCAAGACCGTGTCGATGGTCTTTCTGCCCCTAGACTGGGGCTGACTGGGACTCTGAGCTCTCTCCACCCCCAGCAGAGACAGGAGTTAGCTCCCGAGAGACACCATCTCCAGGGTCATCGGAAATCCAGGTTGTGGGTCAGGTGAGACTAATGCCTGTTTTATTTAATTCAGACTATTAAGAAGTATTTCATCCTGATTGGACACTGAGGGTCAGACAGAAAATGAAACCAAGTCACCAGTGCTTCTGTGTCAGGAGAGGATTTACTGAAAAGTCAGTCTTACACCAATTCTTTGTCTCTCATGGCAGAGAGCGCCCAGCTGGCAGAATGTCCATGTCCCCAGAACGCGTGTGTGGTGGCCACTCTGCCCTGCGGTGGCATCAGGAGGCGGGCCAGCCCCTGGGAAGTGGTCAGGGTCAGATGGGTCACGAGGACGGAGGCCGCTGCGGTCGGATTATGTCTGGACAGAGAGAGACCAGAGCCCACTGTCTGCCGTGTGAGGAAAGCAGGAAGAGGCCGGCACCCTGTCTCAGGCCGCTGCTTGGGCTGCCGGGACGGCTGTCCATGGTTCAGGCCGACCCCTCTGTGTCACGTGTTACAGCGGCCATCAGGCCGATGTAGACGCAGTGGCGAGACGTCCCAGACGGAGCAGTGGGCGCTCCCACGGGGCTAGCCTCCGCCCGGGACAGGGTGGCGTGACGCCCAGTCAGAAGGGGTGTCTCCACGTGGTTATGGGCGTGAGGAAGGGCACCAGTGCAGCGGGACGAGAACCTTGATGTCAGCAGCATGGGTTCCGCCAGTGACCAGGTGGGACACAGACTGGAGCTTCCGGAACAAGGCCCCGGAGGGAGAGGCAGAGCGGAATCAGCAGGCGGGCGGCAAGGGCGCAGGGCGGTCGCCACGGGGACTCAGGGAACCTGCACACGGCGGCAGTGCCAGCCTCCCAGCGCCCGGCCCTGCACAGCCCTGTCGGCGGTCCTCCATCCGTCCTCACGGGCTGCGGGCTGTGCGCCACAGGAAGGTGGACTCCGGCTCAGCTCTGCCCGGAGCTGGTCTGGTAGGTGCGGTCACAGGTGGTTTCCTGTGCTCTGCTTAGGGCCCGGCCAGGATTGCGCTAGGAAATGGGAGCCATGGAGAATCAAAGTGACGGTCGACCCTTGGCCCTGCCATGTCCCCGGGGACGGGCACCGTGTCTAACCCGGGTGCCTTCCTTGTCTGGCACTGTGATGCTCTGATTCTCCGTGAAGGCTGGGCACAGACTAGTGGAGGGAACACGGAACAGGGCCGGAGGTGGTGGATGTATGTGTGGTAGTTGGTGGGCAGCCAGGCGGGGATGGTGGAGGGAGTGAGGGAGGGTGGAGGGAGGGAAGACTGGGTGATGGGGGAGGGTTGGCCGGGTCCATGAATTAATGAGTCCTTTTCTCTCCCTTCCCAGTAGAACACCTGTTTTGTTGTGCAGGGGGAGGGAGGAGGGACACGGTAGCCTGCAGGCCGGTGCTCCCTGGGGTCCTTCTGCTTCCCACCCCCTGCACGCTGGCCCAGCTGCTCTGGGAGGAGGCCCAGTGTGTCCTGCCCCACATCCCCCTCCCGGCCCACCCCAGCAGGCTTTGGTGTCCCTCCTTGAGGCTCCGAACCCCGGGGCAGATGGGTCTGACTTCCCCCCGGCCCCTCCTGACGGGGGACGCGACTGTATTCCACGCGTGTGTCTTGGTCCCTAGGAGCCCAGGCCCCTCACTGCGGGAAGATGCGAGTTCTTTGCCAGCGAGGCGGGGTACATGCGTGATGCCTACCAGACGGAGGTATGTGGGGCATGCCGGCGTGGGTGGCCTCACTCTGCAAGTCCGGACCCCACACGCTCTCTGTGCCCCCATCAGAATCAGAAGGCTTTTCCTCTAACATGCTTCCTGACCTGTGGGACACATTGAGCCTTGTGGCCCTGTGGCTGCCGGCTGCCTCCGGTGACACAGCAGTCCCGCAGCCCACCAGCGGGCTGGGTGCGGCTCTGCTCTCTGTCCTCACGACCTCGTCTGACCCCAATCACTGTCCACCAAACGATGGCTGCCTGGACCGCCCAGCTTGGCCGAGCAGGGTCCTCGAACTCTTCCAGCATGGGGGGCCTGCCACGCCCCCCAAACCACCACACCTGGAATGGGTGCGGGGAGGGGGAGGTCTGGAGACAAGGCTCAGGAAGTGGGGCTGCCTGACTGACCCGGGTGCCGTGGCCGGGTCCTGGCTCCCGGGGTGGCATCCCTACCCACTCTAGGGTGGGGGACGGTGGGTGCCTGACAAGGTCTCTCTCTCTGCCTGTAGGTCACCTGTCACTCCTCGAGTGGCTCGTGCCCCCTGAAGGTGAAGAGTGGCTCGTGCTACTGCTGTGAGCTCTACAGGTGCCAGAGGTGAGGGGCGGGGTCCATGCCCCCAGCCCCCTGCCCCCACCCCCGGCCCCGGCCCTGCAATCCACCACCTCCTCTGAGAGGAAGGGGAGTTGATTCCATCTCACAGATGAGAAACGGAGGCTCGCAAGGTTGTGTGGGGTGCAGGGAGGGCTGTGGCCTCCTGTCCCCTGGTCGTGGCTCTGTGGGAGCCAGGGCCCCAGAGTTTCTCGGGGATCCCTCCCGAGTTGGCTGGGGCTGGTCTGGCTGGCGAGAACACGGCCCTCTGGCCGGCTCTAGATGCTTCCCCTCCTGTCCTCTGTGGGCAGCGGAGGGCACGCTGCTCTGACAGGAGCTGGGAGAGCCTGCCAGGCTGCCGGCGACCTCCCTGCACTGTGGGGGCCTCCCCGGGACAGGCCCTGGGCACCGGTTAGGGTTCACAGCTGGTCGGCCTACATTCCAACCAGTGGGGACCTCAGGGATTGCTTCTTGGGGACCCCCCCAGAATGGTTGAAAACCCCACGGCTTTAAGCAGGAACCCCCTTCCCCCAAATGAGAGTCCCATCCCATTCCCAAACTCTATTGGGAGAAGCTGCACCGGCGTGGGGCACGGTTGCTGGCCTCCCCACCATGACCCCCATGCACGGAACCCCGCGGGCCAGTGCTGGGACAAACAGCCCTCCTGTGTTCATGGCTCAGCCACGAGACCTGGTGCCCTGAGGAGATCCGGTCATCACCCTTCTGCCTGGGTCTGGGTTTGGGGAGTGTGCTTGGCTGCTCCTTCCTGCTCAGAGGCCTGGGATCTTTCCCCGGAGGGATTTCTGGATGCCCTAGGGGACAGCCTTGCCCCCACAGCCCCAGGGAGCATCTGGGTTGGTTCCCGGGATGTGGTCCCCCCACTACAGCCCGGTCTGTGGGGTCTTCATGGCCGAGAGCTCAGCTTGCCGGATTCGGAGCTCACGCCGTGGCACACTGTGCCCCGCCCAGCTGGCCTGTCCCCTCCTTACTGGCGTGGGTGACACTTCCTTCTCCTTGGGCAGCACAGAGCACCCTCCCATCTACTACGAGTTCGTGGGCGTGCGCTCCTGCCCGGACGTGCTGCACCTGTACCAGCTGCTCTGGGCCTCCTCGGTGCTGAACGTGCTGGGTGCGCTCCTGGGTGTCCTCACGGCAGCTGTCCTGGGGGCCTTCAAGGACATGGTGAGTCGGGCCCCGGCGCTGGTGCTCTGGACAGCTCGGGGCTCGAGGCCATGTCCGCTGAGCTGGGCAGGGTGCGCCTCCTTGTCTCCACCTACACATGGGAAAACAGAGGCTGGTGTCGGCCCCAGGCCAAGCCTTCCAGCCATTCAGAGGAGCGGGTCATCGGACCTGCCCTGGTCAGTTCCCCCCACCGCCTGCACAGGGAGCCCCGAGCCTCCTGCCTCGTATCCAGGGCTTAGGTCCGTACTTGCCCAGAATTAGGTCTGTACTTGCCCAGGTGGATGGGGCTTAGGGCTGGGCACGACCGAGCCTCCCCGCCGAGCCTCCCGGCGGGCAGCACCCTGCCGTGCTTTTCTCTGCACGGGGCAGCAGCTGCCTTCCCCCCCGGAGCAGCACGCGCAACCCCTTCCTGAAGCTGGTCGCGAACTCTAGAGAGCGCCTGGCACCCACTCAAGTTGGGGAGGCGAGTGTGAGCGCACACTCCAGCCGCCACAGGCCCCTCGCACGAGCGTCGGCAGCCGGTGCCTCCCGAGTGCTCTGGGGATTCGGTCACAGCCATTTTCAGGGGCCGAGTCCGCAGGGAAATTACCAGAGCGTTCTACCAGGTAAAGTCGGCGAAGGCCACAGGGCCGGTCGCAGCCCCACGCTGGACGGTTTCCTCTCTCAGACCAAAGTTCTCGGGTCTTGTAAGAGAGAAGGAAAGTGATTCCTAACCGTTCACACCTACTGAGTATCTTGTACATCTAATGGATTTTTTAATTTAAAGATCATCTTTAGGAACAAAGCCACTTCCTTAGACCGCCAGACGCTCGGCCTGGGCGCAGGGGGGGCAGGGGTGAGACTCAGGGCTGCGGGAGGGTCCCCGGGGCCAGGAAGCCTCGTTTAACCCAGTCTGCGTGAGGAAGATACGCAGAGAAATGCAGCCCGTGAGTCCTCACGCTGGTGACCCGGCGCCGGATGGGCAGGTGCAGGGAGAGAGGCCTGAGCCAGACGGGGCTCCCGGGGTCCCCAGCAGAGCGGAGCTGCCTAAGGTGACATGTTTTGCTCCTTCGTGGGAGACCCCAAGCCTGCTCATCCCTCCAAACCCCAAAATGGCGCAAGCACAGAGTCGGGCCCGGCGGTAAGGCCCCCAGGCCACAGGATGTAGCTGTTCCCTCCGGCCGGGTGGCTCCCCCACACAACAGGTCTCACGTCTCGAGGTGCCCCTCATGGCCCTCCGTGAACCTGGCTCCAGTCCCCCAGGATGGCAGGGAGCTCAGCCCCGCGCCCACAGGAGATGCTTGCCAGGGTGCGGCCGTGACCATGGCAGGGGAGCTGTGGGCCTCCCTGCAGCTCCCCGTCCTCTCTCCCAGCACCCTTGGTTGCCCCTCGGAGTGCCCAGAGGCCACCCAGGGCAGGGGCCGGAGGTGACAGGTGGGTTGGCAGAGCTCCTTCTTCCGAGGACATGCCCGTGCGGGCAGACGTGGGTGTGCTCGCGGCTTCCCGCGTTGCCTCCCCCTTTGCTGGTCCCCTGCTCCCCCACTGCTCAGGACCCCGTCTCCCCTTCCCTTCAGTGGGCAGCCACGCGTTTTCAGACCCTCCTTCACTGCCCCCGAGGCCCCTCCCCGATGCGGCAGGGCCTGCCCTGTGGTGTCCTTGGGGGAATCCAGGTCTGTCCTCAGAGAGAGGGAGGCCCCTCCAGTCTGGAGCCCCCTTCTGTGGAGGGCTCCATCCCGCGGCCCCTCTCAGGGCGACAGGTGGGTGGCCCAAGTCCTGTTTTCCTTTGGAGAGGTGGAGTCACCTGGCGAGCTCACAGGAGCAGGTCATGGAAGGGCTTTGGTGTTCTTTGCCCTTTTCCAGAAATCCCTGCCACCGGGAGGCCCAGCACGGGGCTGTGGTCTCTGCCGCAGGGGTTTTCAGATTTGTTATTTTTGTGGGGGCGAGAGTGTGCACGTGGAGACGGGCAGAGGGAGAGGATCCCAAGCCGACTCCTCATTGAGCGCGGAGCCTGACGCGGGGCTCATCCCACCACCCCGAGATCATGACCTGAGTCGACATCCAGAGTGGGACGCTAACTGACACATAAAACGCCAAAGAGATCCTGGCCCAGCCTGGTGTGTCGGCAGGTCCCTGAGACAAACAGAATATAAAAAGCAACAATAAGCCCTGCTCTGAGGGGCTTAGTTCTGGCTCGAGAGTGACTTCTCCCTTGCAGGCGTCAGAGGAGGGTGGCGGGGGGACAGGGCTCTGCAGGCCGTTGGCTTGGAGCCCAGGGTGGCTGGGCTGACACATGTCCGTTCTGTGGCAGGTCCCCCTATCCCAGCTGGCTTACGGCCCGTCTGCTCCACCTCAGACCCTCTACAACCCTGCCCAGCAGATCCTGGCCTACGCGGGCTTCTGCCGGGCTCCTGCGGCCCTCCCCACCTGCTCGTCCTACCCTCTGCCTCTCCAGGTAGGCCCAGCGTCGCCTGGGGGAAGCTGGGACACTCCCTACATGGGCGGCGGTTGCCCACAACAGCTCTGGTCAGATGGGACATGAATGGGGGGTTCAGGGGGAGGGAAGAGGGGCCCCACGGCCTCCCCTCCCCGTTTGGTTACAGGGTAGTAGAGCAAGGGGCTTGGGGACAATGGAGGGAAGCATGGCAGACATCTCCAGACCCCTCCACGTTTCAGGCTCCTTTGCTCCATGTGGTGCTGGTGTGTGGTGTTGTCCAGACCTGGAGCCTTTTCTGACCCCGGTCTGGGTCCCGCGGAAGTTCGCCTCGGAGGCCTGGCCAGGAGCCTGGGGCCTGTGAGCTGCTCTTCCGGGGAAACTGCAGAGCTTGCCCTCAGCCACGCCTTGCCCACAGCAGCGGCCACCTCATAGGGCCAATGCAGTAGGACACACGAGCCTGGGGACCCTTGTGGGCTGTTTGGTGGGGCTGAGACCTCGCTCCTGGAGTGCTGCTGGCCTCCAGTCCTGGCTTCAGCTTCTCTGTGTCAGCACAGCTCCGTCTAGGGCCTGGGGGAGCCACACACCAACCTGGCTGGTGCCTTGGCGCGTCCGTGAGGTGCAGAGGGGCCTCCCCAGTACAGCAGCACGAAGGGCTGGGAGCAGGTGCGGGAGGCACTCGGGAGCCCAGGACACGGGGCACAGTCCGCCTTCCCTGCCGGGGAAGGCTGTTGCCCGCAGTCGACCAGGGGAGGGCAGCTGGGTGTGAGCTGAGTGCACTCAGGCTTCCTGGCCCGGTGCTGTCTCCTCTCGCCTGGAGAATGAGGCTCGTGGCTGAGCTCCCTGGTGTGGGCAGGGCCTCCAGTTCCTGGAGGGGACCCAACACAGACGTCTGTCTACCCAGCGTCTCCGTGGGGCTGTGCCAAGGGAGGCCTCCCCCTTCCCGGGAAGCACGGACCAGGCCCCTGCGTGGCACTGGCTCCTGATCCCATGGGGTCCATGAGTGTGAGGCCCCTTTGAGCAACCAGTCCCCAAGCAGCTGAGGCCTGGCTCGAGAGTCTTGTCCACCTCCGTGACACGGAGGAGCGATCCCCCGCACTGTTCAGCCCCAAGGGCGGGCACATCCCACATCCCTGGGCACAGCCTCCCCGCCAGCCCGGCGGCCGCACTCAGCAGCCTTCCCTAGAGCGGCACCACGTCTGCCTCCAGGCATCCCTCTCCGTCCCCACCACGGGGAGGACGACATCCCTTGCCCATGGCCTGCGTCCTAAGGGCCGTGCTGTGCTTCTCATCCCTTCAGTTTGCTGAGCCCAGACTGAGACCCACCGCTGCAGGGAGCCTCCGTAGCTCGTGGGCCGCCTTCGGGGACAGACCCTGGTGCAGACACGTGGAGCCGAGTGCCGGCCGGATCGGCCCGGTGTCACTCACTCATCCACTTGGGTGGGGGGAGGCGTGCCCCCCACGGCGGGGCCCCGCATCCCGTCAGGGCGCCTGCTCCCGTCTGACGCCTCGCACCAGCTTGGGTGTGCGGACTGGGTGCACCCCAAGGGCCGGCCCTGACTCGTCCTGGGCACCCGCCGGTCCTCGGAGGTGGGCGCTGCTGGGGGCTCTTCGGAGTCTGGGTCCTGAGCCCGGGGCCTCGGGCGGATGTCTGGGGTAACAGTGCGTCTCCTCGGGAGATGTGATCCCTGTAGGGCCTGGCATGGTGGTGGCCTGCGTGTCAGCCGTGGTGCTGGCCAGCGGGTCCGCCCCATTCCATCCTTGGCCACCGCTGGGGCCTCTGGCTTGTCCAAACACAGATGCCCCTCTTTGCCCCCCAGGGGAGGCCTGGGCTTTCCTCCCTGTGCCTCCTCCGCCGCTCTGACCAGCGTGTGCAGGAACAGCATTATTGACGCACGGACCGTTGGATCGCGATGACTGGGGGGGCTCCCTGCGTCTCTGGGAGAGACGTGGAACTGGGGCTGCGCTTCCATGACCAACAGAGCGGGAAAGGGGGGTTTGAAGTGATGTCACTGGCACTAAGTTACCCCCGGAGAGCGGGGAGTGGATGGCAGGCGGGGGCCGTTTGAGCCGTTCACTGAAAGACAGTCCTTAAAAGGGACCCGGCTTCCCTGCTCCCAGTGGCTGCCCGGTTAGGACACGCAGGAGGGGCTCAGCGTCCTGACGGGCGCGAACGGACGGAAGCAGAAGTCCGGCTGCAGCCCAAGAGTGAGCGTGTCCCATGTCCTTTCCCTGCGGGGCCACCTGTGGGAGCAGCGCTGTCCCGGGGACAGCCTGGTCACCAGAGGTTTCCCTCGTGATTCACGGCAGTTTTCCTCATGGCCTGCGGTGATTTAACCTGCAGCTCATGGGGGTTCGTGCCGTGGTCTGCGGTGGCTCACTCCGTGGCCTCTTAGCCTCTGACTTCTGGGGGAGATCCGGCGGACACGCGCGGTGACGGGAGCTCCCCGCGGACCGGAGACGATGTTCTCTGGAGGTCTGGTTTGTCCCCCAAGGTCAGAAGGGAGAAACAGGTGGGCAGAGCCCCGGCCATCGGACTCCGAAGCCCGTGCTGACGGCTCCACGTGGCCGGGCCTTCGGGTTCAGCCGCGGCTTGTGAGGAAGTTCCCCTTTGAGAGCGCTGAGGCCCCCCACCTGCTCGGTGGGGAGGGTCCCCGGCACCCAGGAGGGACGCGCCGGCCTCTCAGGGCCCCGGATACCTGGCAGGGGCAGAGCGAAGGGACTGCGGTGCCGGCAGGAGCCCGGAGCCCCCAAACACGGCGCACCTCCTGGAGGGACCTTCCCGCGCTTGGATACCGCGTTTAAGTAGGCGTTTTTAATCGTCCGAACGTGCGGGGAAGGAGTTCTAGAAGTTGTTGGCAGGTGGAGAAAGACTGGAAATTGGTTGATTTAAAATCCGCGCCAAAACCCGCATTTTCCTTCTCAGAATCACTTTTACTCGGGTCTGCGTGTGTCAGTGTCTCCCAGCGAAACAGATCCCACGGGACGTGTGCGCGTGCCACGATGCAGAGATGGCTGCACAGAGACTGAGACACAGAGACCGAGAGAGACAGAGACGAGACACAGAGGGAGACAGAGACACAGAGACAGAGACACAGAGAGAGACAGAGACAGAGACACAGAGAGAGACGGAGACAGAGACACAGAGACAGAGACAGAAAGATGGAGAGAGATAGAGACAGAGAGACAGAGACACAGAGACACAGAGAGACAGAGACAGAGAGAGACAGAGAGATGGAGAGAGACTGAGATACAGAGACAGAGAGAGACAGAGACAGAGAGACGGACAGAGAGACAGATATAGAGAGAGACAGAAACAGAGACAGAGAGGGAGAAAGACAGAGACAGAGAGGTGGAGAAAGAGACAGAGATAGACAGAGAGACAGAGACAGAGACAGAGAGACAGAGGAAGAGAGATGGAGAGAGACAGAGACAGAGAGATGGAGAGAGAGAGAGAGACAGAGACAGAGGCAGAGACAAAAAGACAGAGAGAGACAGAGGCAGAGAGACGGAGACAGACAGGAGGACCGACGGAGCCAGGAGCCTCCAGGCGGCACACACGGGGCTGCAGACCCAGGAAGAACGGCTCTTGAGGGCCCAGTCGGTCTCGAGGCTGAGCCCCTTTCCTGGGCACTCGGTCTTTTCTTCGCAAGACCTTCAGGGACGGGGCTGGTGTGCGTGTCAGTTGCATCTAGAAAACACCTTCATATCAACACCCAGGCTGGTGTTAGAGCTTCTGGGCACAAAGGCCTGTCCGAGTGGACACATGAGACTAGCCACTGAGCTGTATTGAAAATGCTATGTCTTAATTTTTCCTGAAACTATGCAATGCTGGGGGAACCCAGAGGACCCCCACCCCCCGATGCTCTGGTGGCCCCGTCCTCGGACATGTCTGCACTTTGGGGCCGGACTCGCACACAGCAGGCACACACCGAGAAGCCGGGTCTCCGAGGGTGGGCGTCTCGGCAGGAGCTCACGTGCCGCAGGTGTGCGGAGTGGGCGCCGCTCTGGCCCTGCTGCTGCTGATCGAGGAGTCTGGGTCAAGTGGGTGGCCCTGACGCAGGGGAGCCGGGCCCCAGGAGGGCTCTCTGGGTGCTGTCGTGCTTGCGCGGACTGTACAGGGCTGGACCCTCCTCGGACCTAGACTGTCCCCTGCAGCGCTGCGGCCGCTTCCCCGCCTCGACTCCCAGGGACCCCCTGTGTCCGAGGACGTGCCGCCTCCCGATGCCCCACCGCTCCGTGCCAGCCCACTTCCTCCAGGGGTGAAGCCTCCGCCTCCGCTCCCTGACACATGGGGGTAGATGGAAAATTAACTTAGTTTCGGTTTCTTAAAAAGCAAAGCAGCCTCTGCAAACCCCGCTTCTGTGGCCAGTCTCCCAGAGACGTCAGGGGAATGTTCTGAGGTCTGCGCCTTCTTTCCCTCCTGGGCACATATGTGGGCAGAGAGGCCAAGACCAGCGGTGGGACGGAGCCCGGGCGCCCAAGGCCCCAGGCAGCGCCTCTGCTCAGCTGCCTTGCCCAGAGCGGACGCCGGACGCCGAACAGATGCAGCGCACCCGGCCGGAGCCCCTCGGTCTGTCGTCACGCACTGAGCAAGAGTCACTCTCTCGCCATGTCCCTCGTGAGCCTGTTGTTACTATTCTGCAAGGGGAATATGGTCCCGTGTGCCCCCTGAAAGGGTCGTGTTTTAAGGAGAGGTGCTGTATGTGTACATACTCACACCTGTGACCCCAGGAAGCGCAGCCCCGCTCAGGGCCCTCTCTCTGTGGCTACTTGCTGGGGATGAAACGACGGTTTGGCTCAGACATCAGATGCTGCTCGTGAGGTGCGTGCGTTCCCTGAGGTCTGCCTCCTTCCTAACCTGCCGTCACACCTGCAAGAACACTTGCTACCCGAGGCTGCACGCGTCCTATCCAAGGCTGCCAGCGGCCATCTCTCATGGATTGTTCTAGAGGCTGCCCGGTCCGTTACGCAGGGAGCTCCATAGGGCGCCCCCCCCCCCCACCGCCGCAGGGCAGATCTCTACACCCCGTCTCTCTGCTGTAGGTGGGTGGCTTCTGAGGCTTCAGCTAGAGCCTGGGGGGCAGCTCGGCCTCCTGCAGACCCACCGCCACTGACCCAGGCACACCTGGAGCCCCCGGTGGGCACCCACCTGGGCAGTGATCAGTCCTGAGTGACAGGCCAGAGTCCTAAACTAGTCCTGGATCAGGGTTGGGGGTAGAGATAAGGTGCGGTGGGGAGGGGCGGGGAGGGGAGAGGAGGGGGAGTGGAGAGGAGGGGAGGGGCGAAATGAAGAAGACACGGCAAGCAGACAGTCTCCTGCTCCCTCTGCTGGCGCGAAGGCAGGTCCAACAGGCCCCGCTCTCGGGTGCTGGAAGGTCTCACAGTTTTCTGGGCACCTCAAATGCTTTCTCTGAAGAGGGTGAGCGTGGGTTCCCCTGTTGGGGCCGTCGCTGGAATACAGGACATAGGAGGCCGGCGGCTCTGGCTAACCGACCTCAGGAAGGCCCTTTGTCACAGACGAGGAAGCCACCAGCCTGGCCTCTGCTCTAGCAGATGCCTTCAGTCCCGGGGGTGGGGGGGGGCGTTGAGCTGAATTTACACTCTGAGCCCAGACGGTCCAGCCGCCCAGCCCGGGCCTGCGCGTGGCTTCCTCTCCGCAGACTCGGGGTTTGCAGCCGGGAAGCAACGACACGTTTGTCCTCCGGAGGAAAGCCCTCCTGTCGCACAGGCCTGCGAACCGGGGGCGCGGAGGCCTCTGAGGAGGCCGCGCTGGGGTGAGGGGCCCGGGGCACCTCCGTGTGCGGCTCCTGCGTCGGGGGCCCCCACAACTCCCTCATGGGCCTGGAGCTAAGGAACCAGCACAGCGTGGCTGAGGCCAGTGGTCCTGCCAAGCCAGGGGCCGGATCCCTTCCCTGAGCTTGCTGTCCCGTGGGGTCTGGATGGGGAAGAGGGGCCAGCTCTGGTGCCTCCAGGCTGCGCCCCAGACCCACGCCGGCCTGCAGGGAGCAACCTGCTTCCTCCCAGGCTTGGGGCTGCCCCTCACAGGCCCCAGCCTGACGGAGAGCCGCTGACAGCAGTGCGGCTGGTGCTGGGAACCGTGCCACCGATCACTGAAGGCAGCCAGATGCCAAGACACGGGAACAGCTTTGACCTCAGCACCCACCCCAGGGTCAGAGGCACATAGCAGTGTCCGTGTTTCCCAAGATTGTTCACACCAACGTCACCCAAAGGCACTTCTATCTGCCCTGGGAGCCCAGAACTGATAAAAATATTAGACTCCCAGGCCAACAATTCTGCTCTTGGCCACAAGAATGTCCTTATCCCCTGTCCCAGCCACAAAGAATGCCAACAATTCAACTCCCGCCTGGTGACGGCTCTGGCCCCTTGCAGTCCCCAGGACAGCTCTCCACACCCTACACACTGCACAGGCCCATGCTGACCCCCAGTCCCCAGGGCAGCTCCCCCATCCCTGGCACGTGGTGCCTGCTCACACCAGGCCTGCAGTGTGTTGTGGGTACCATTCCCTGAGGGAAAAAAATCTCTGCCAAAGCCTTTGCCTTTACAGTGATAGTCACTGGCCAGTCTGTGCCTGAGGGTAGGTGCGTCGAGGGTCCTGGCCTGGCAGCTCTGATGGGCACCATGATGAGTGGGTCTCAGTGGGGCCTCTCCCTGGCCCCCATCCTTGGCTGAGCTACCCCACCTCTTTCCCAACCACTGACTGTGGTTCCACTCAGTGGACCCGGACCGGGGGCTGCTCATGGGTGCGGGGCTCCCTGTTGGTGGGAAGGAAAGGTTCCAGAGCGGGTTGGTAGTGATGGCTGCACAACCTTGTTAATGTATAAAACCCACTGAGTTGTACATTGTTAAAGGGCGAATTTTATGGTATGTGACTTGACCCTCAATGAAAAGAGGGCAGGACGCCTTATCAGTGTGTGTGAAGCCGAACCAGGAGTACAGCACGTGTCCAGTGGACAAGAAGACAGTCACCAGCACGTGTCCAGTGGACAAGAAGACAGTCATCACCGTGAAGCTGGACCCCTCACTGAGCAGAGAAGCCCTAGGAACTTTAGGGGAAATGTCATCTGACCTACAGGAAGAAGAAAATGTCCAGGAGGCAAGGCCCTTACGCAACTAGGGGCTTCATAGGTGGCAACAGTTAGAAACGTATTTCCTTTCTTCGTGTCTTAAGGTGATTTAATGATGAAAATTAATACACACGCAGAAAGAACGCATAGAGCAAGGCATAAGGTCGTGCGACTGGCAGAGAGGCGAAGACAAGAGCGCCCAGGACGAGGCCGCCCTCTCTGCTCTGCCCAGCGCAGGGTCTATGTGACGTGTTCTCACCTCCTTCGGGTCAGTACCAGAGAGCGCGATTGCTGGGTTGGACGGTAGGAATGGGTTTGGCAGACAGGCTTCCAGGCGGCCACGCTGTCCTGCACTGCTCGTGGTGTGAGGGCCCTGGCCGCCAGCTGGCCAGCACTCGGCGCTGCGCGTGACCCAGACCATGGCCGCTCTGGGAGGAGGGCAGCCGCGTCTCACTGTCACGTTCGTTTGTCATTCTGTGGGGACAGTGCGGAGGAACCCCGCTCAGGCGCTTACTAGCCAGCTGGGCCCCTGCTTTGGGGATGTTGTCTGTTCAGGTCTTTTGCCCATTTTTATTTGGGTTGCTTGTTTTCTTGTTGTTGAGTTTCAAGAGCTCTTTGTATATTTTGGGTACCAGTCCCTTGTCAGATGTGTTTTTGCAAATACTTTCTCCCCGTCTGAGTCTTGTCTCCTCCTTTCGATGTTGTCTTCTGTGCAGTAGGCATTTTAGCCTTGCTGAAGTCCAGCTTGTCCGTCCTTCACGGTTGATGCCTCTGGGACCATGTCTGCCGCGTCACCGCCGCACCCAATCTCAGAATGCGGTAGTTTCCCCCTTTCCCTTTAGATATGTGACCTGTTTGGGGTTATTTGTGTGTGGCAGGATTCATTTCTCAGCGTGTGGAGGTCCACTTGCTTCGGCACCATTTGCTGAAGAGACAGTCTCCGCTCCGTTGTGCTGCCTCTGCTCCTTTGTCCAACACCGGTGACTGCATCTGCGTGGGTCTGGTTCGGGTCTGTTTGTGTCACGGATCTATTCGTCCAGCAACAGCAGCCTGGACCGATCGTGGCAACTTTGCAGTAGGCCTTGAAGTCGGATATTGTCAGTCTTCTAGCTCTGTTCTTGACTTTAATGTCGCTCAGTATTTAAATCTTTCCTTTACTGTTAGAGCGTTTTGGGTTCTTTTAAGAAATAGTTCTCTACCTTAGGTCATGCTAATACTTTCTTCTGTCACAGGGGATAGCAGAGTCTGTACATAAAGGGTCAGAAGATAAATATTGTTGGCTTACAGCACCAGTTAATGTGTGTTAATGTGTGTGACTACTCAGCTCCGACATGTGGACCCATCCAGCTGTCGACGATCGTACGTCAACGGGGTGGCTGTGTGCCAGTGAGCTTTGCTAACAAGGGGGGTGGAGCCACAGGCCCTTGGGGCGTAGTCTCACATGCTTGTCTGGGGCTTTATAGATTATTTTTAGATTTAATTATATATTCTACCTTGTGTCATGGGAGGTGAGGTCAGATTTCCTTTATCTTTAATGCAGTGGCATTCAACAGGGCTGGTTTTGCACCTGGGGGACATTTGGCAATGTCTGGAGACATTTTTGATTGTCATGAGTGCTGTGGGGGCTGGGGCATGGGTACAGTGGGAAATAGTTCCTGGATGGCAGGGTGCTACCCAATGACCCGGAAGAACCACTTTCATAAGACACACATTCACGATCAACGGCATCCTAAAAACAAAACCCAAAAACAACAAACAAACAAACTTATTGCAGCTCTTCTCTTGAAAAGCCAAAAGCAAATTAGACCATAGCTCGGTACACAGCGTGTTCTATTCCCCGTGCCGTCCCCGTAGCACAAAGTCACTCCTGTCTGTCACTACTGTCCTCCTCCACCAGACTGAATCAGGCTCCTCCAGGGCCTCCGGCGGAGCACACAGTCAGACGACAGATCTTCGTCTGTCTCTGACCCCTCGGCTGCCAGCACCCCCGGTTGGACAGTGGTGAGGGTGCCGGCCTGCCTGGCAGCCGTGGGGACCGTACGGCTGTATTCAGGACTTACAGGATATGAGCTTTTACTTAGCTGTAGCTGGAGGTACCCTGGTGCCCAGCGGATATCTAAGGAAACCACAGCAGGAAACAGATTTGTGCCCAGCTCCCTGCACAGAGGATGGCTCGGGATAGTCAGAAGGCCCCTAAGCCATGGCTGTGTGTGCACGTGGGGTCCCGGAGCTCAGCGTGTGCGCTCTCTGCTCCGGCTGTCCTGGCCTTCTTGAGACTGGGGCTGGCCAGGGGAACATTCCACAAGAACATTCCAGAGCTGCCTCCACAGTGAGGGAAAGCAGATAACACCACGGGGAATGGTGCGGCAACACGTTGAGAAACGGATCAGGCCCTAAAGCTGCTTTGGGTTCCGATGTTCCTGAGGCCAGCTGGGGGGTGGCCTGGTGTTCTCCCAGGGGCTACAGGCTGGCCTTGCCTCCCACACTTCTCAGAGCTGTGCTCAGGGGTGCTGGAGGTGGTCTGCGTTGGGGTGAGGCTTCCTACTTATTGAGCAGACAGCATCCAGGCCGTGGTCCTCCTGGTCAACATCAAAGGCCCCAGGAACTGAGGTTTCACTGCCCTGATGGACAATGAGGCTGTGTCCTGCAGCCCCGAGTCCCAGCTGCCTGGGAGCCAGCAGAGGGGGCCCGGGTTTAGGGGTCCCCTTATGCTATAAGCAGATACATGCATCCACCCTGGCTGCAGACTGAGAGTGGGGAAGCCCACAGTGCTGTGGGAGAAGGCCCTTCCCCTAGGACCTTGGCTGGAGATGGACAGCTCATGAGGACGTAATCGGTCAGAGCTGCCCAGGGACAGCCCAGCATGTGCTCTCCGGGGACATGGCTTCCCTGTGTACCCTGCTTCTCCTGCACCAGCCTGGTAAACCACCTGAAGAACCTCTTAGACTAGACTAGAAGAACCTTAAGGCCCAAGTCAATAGAACTTCCATCCAGATGCTGCCACAGATCTCGGAAGACGGTAGAAAGGACACAGCTGGGCAGGCGATGGTAGTGTCTGTGGGCAGGCCAGGGAGTGCTTGAGGGCCTGGTGAATGTGCCAGGGACCCCGGGTCGGCCTCAATGGCCAGGCCCGTGAGACCCTGTGGGCCTTCCTGTTTCCATGCCCCGGCATCTGCCATCTGCAGCCATCATCCCCATGATGAGCAGGCCAGGGAGGGGTCCCTCCTGGTGGGTGTCTGTGGTGGGCGGCCCCTCCAGAATCCTAGAGACCCCTTCAAGGGTGGGCCAGCCGTGGCTGAGGAGGGGTACCCATCTGCTCCCACCGGGGCACATTTGGGGCCCACGTCCTTGAAGCCACAGGCTGCTTTCTAGAAACCTGAAGGGGGTCTCTCCTCCTCTGTGCTGCCCGGCTCACTCTGCTTCTTGCCCCGTGGCTGTGGGTGGGCCCCTCGGTTTCTGTCCTTCCTTCTGCACCTGCTTGTCTGCAGGTCAGTACGTGACTTCTGGACTCACGGTCTGCTGTCAGGCGCCAAAATCCACGCTGCTCCGTGCTTGGCTGACGCTGCTTTCACAGGTCACTCTGTACTGAGAAAGGACAGGGCTGGGGGATGCTTTGCCGCCCTCCTTGGGGCAACCCAGACCTGCCCCACAGCCTCAGGACATTCGAGGTTTGGAATCTAAGAACATCTCAGTCTTGGAGGAGCTTTCCGGTCATCAAGCGCGGTCTCCAGCGGGTGCCAGAAACTTGTCTGGTGCGTTGTGCGTGACCGTGACGGTGACCGCCGGCCATCCCGTGACTGTCACCGCCCCGATGGTGACCGCCGGCCATCCCGTGGCTGTCACCGCCCCGATGGTGACCGCCGGCCATCCCGTGGCTGTCACCGCCCCGATGGTGACCGCCGGCCATCCCGTGGCTGTCACCGCCCCGATGGTGACCGCCGGCCATCCCGTGGCTGTCACCGCCCCGATGGTGACCGCCGGCCATCCCGTGACTGTCACATCAGGCAGACAGACCTGCCCTGCCGGAGCTCCAGCCTCAACACTGGCCTCCCCACCAACCCACCCCCGGGCCTCTGCGACCTGTGTGTGCTGGTGGCCCTGGGGCCCCAGTGCATTTTCCTTTTGTGTCCTCTTGGGGTCAGAGTGGCGTCTGCACCCCCCACCTCGCAAAGCGGCAGGTGTACCCGCGTAACCAGATTCCAGCCGCTCCAGCCATTAGAGCTGCTCTGAGGAGAGAAAATGGGAGACGGAGAGGGGAATGGGTTTGTGTAGGGAGAAGGCAGACAGGTGCGAACCTGCCCTGTGTTAGGAGGGGTGACAGGGCCCTCGCCTCCATCGGAGTTGTGTCCATGGCACAGAGAGCAGGGCAGCAGTGCCCAGAGCCGGGAGCTGGGAAGGGGTGCTGGGGAGGGACTGGAGGGGGGCCGACCCGCCGCTGGGCACGAACGAGCAAGGAGCAGAGCCCGCAGCACGGTTAAAAAGGGTTCTCTAAATATTTTATTTTTCCATACTTTAGGCCAGAAAGAAGCATCGGTAATAAAATAACAGAATTATTTTCCTGGGTCCGCTCCGGCGTGTGCAGCCCCGGTCTCCGCTGGGGCTGGGGCCGTGGCTTCGTGCAGCCGACATCAGCTCCTCGGCCGTGTACATGTACGTTACAGGCACAGAACAGTCTCGGAGGAACCTCGGCCCGCGGGGGGCACAATGTCCACAGCTGCTCTCGCTGGGGGCGGGGGGACCGGCCGCCCCTCCTCCTGCCGGCCTAGGGGGTGGCCTGCTCGACGGGGGGGCAGGAGTGGGACGTGATGTCGCTGTGCTTGTAGACGGCCTCGTCCGGGTCCAGCGCCTTCCGGTTGACCTCTAGCATCATGCAGCCGCGGTAAAAGGCCGTGACTGGTGCTGCGGTCACGGGCACATCTGGGCCAGTGGGGAGAGAACAACACTGTCTCACGGGCGAGCGGCCCGTCCGTCTGGAGACCGGGCTCCCCGTCCTGCACGTCCCCCAGCACTGCGCTCCCGGGCACCCGAGGGCCCCATCAGTGGCCGGCCTTTCTCCTCAGGGGCATGGGTCCCTGTATGCCCAGACCAGCAGCAGCTCAGCTGTGGGCCTGCAGGGACACCTGCCTGTGCCCAGGAAGTGCACTTGGATGGTTAGATCAGTAAATCGCCCTGATCTCCTTCTTGGCCCAAAAGAGTCATTCACGCTGCAGGGCTCCCCACACCCCAGCCCCCCTTCTTCAAAGGTTTGTCTATGAAAACTAAATGGAGTGTGTGTCTGCTGGCCAAGGCAGGCGTCCGGGCGGCCAAGGGCAGACTTGCACTGAACCCTGGGGGCCGTGGGGTCGGGAGGGCTCACAACAGCAGCTGCCCCGGAACCCTTTCGGCCGCTCTGCCCTGATCACTCATGGCCACTGGCCAGCTCCCCTCCCGCAGTCAGACACGAGTCCCCAGTCTGTAGGAGGCAGCTGTCTGCTGCCCCTTCCTGGGCAGCACGGAGGCTGGAGGGGACTCTGGCCTCATAGGCTGAACATTGGGACCAGGGCACCCAGACTCTGGCACGGTCCCTGGTGGCCAGCCCTGCCCCACCGGCTCAGCGGAGCCTCTGCCTGAAGCATGCTTGGGGAGCTCTTGGAGGATGCAGGGACAGCAGCTTTGGGCCGAGGCCTGTCCCCAGCAGGTGTGGTCTCAGCCTCAAGCCTGGAACTGCTAGGCAGGCACGATGGGCACTAAGGCAGCATCAGGCCAGCCAGGAAGTTCAGCCTACAGGGAACGCCCAGGCTCCATGGGGGGCGAGCACCCTGACAGTCAGAGCTGCGGACGTCCCACCCCGAGGGCATAGCTGTGGGAGCCCTACCTGGCAGTCCGCCCACGAAGGTGAGCACAGAGCCCTGCAGGTGCGTCGCGAGTGCGGCCAGGAGCTCCCGCAGGTGCGCCGCACTCACTTCGCTCTGGCCCTTGGTGCCGTCGACCTCCAGGGTGGCCTCATCCTTCCGCACGGAGACGGCCACACGGTGCTCCTGGCCGTCACAGACCTTGATCTCCATCAGGGCCAGGGTGACGCTCTCCACGGCCAGGATGACCAGCTGCAGGGAGACACGCACCTGAGCACGAGGGCCTCCTGCCCCGTCTTCCTGCCGCAGGGCCTCCTAGGGCCGGGTCTCTGCGTTCCATGGTGCACGGGCTGGGGCTCAGTTTCCACGTGTGCAAGGTGGACAGAGAACAGAGGGGAGAGCAGGGTCATCCCAGGCGCCAGGGGCACCGCACTCTGCAGCCATCTCAGTGGACATGCCGCCCACCCATCTGTGATCTGGAACACAGGACACGGCCACTTCTCCACGTCAAAATGCTACCAAGCCAGAATAGAGGGGCTGGCGGTGCGGAGCCAGAAAGGCCAACATCCCAGGAGATAGCCGGCCACATGCACTTGGTGTTCATGTCAGACAGAACTTACCTCTGATAACGTGGGCCAGAAAACACAGGACGGACACACAGCCTGACAGCACGGGATGGACACGCAGCCCGACAGCAGAGGACGGACACACAGTCTGACAGCAGGGGACGGACACACAGTGTGACAGCAGGGGACGGACACACAGCCCGACAGCAGGGGACGGACACACAGCCCGACAGCAGGGGATGGACACACAGCCCAAGAGCAGGGGACGGACACACAGCCCGACAGCAGGGGACGGACACAGCAGTGGATGGACATACAGCCCGACAGCCTGGGATGGACACAGCAGGGCAGCTGGCCCAGCGCCCTTCATTCTCCGTGCCCTGGGAGGGCTGGCAGTGCCCTTCGCGAGCTCCGTGTGCCCACATGTGCACATGGTGTGTGGACCGGTGCTCCGTGGAGGAGCGTCTGCTGCAGTCTTGGGGACCAGACCAGTCTGGGGAGCCTCAAGCAGCACCAGCTGGGGGCAGGCTGGCCGCTGTCCACACACACTCCCGGCCAGCAGGCCTGCCCACTTCGGACAGAGGCCAGTGCGTACAAGCTCCTTCCTCTGCCCCTTGGCTGTCCCCAAGCAAACTATGGGTTCCACACAGCGGGTGTTGGCTTGGCTGGGTGTGCGGGGCCGGGGGTATGCGGGCCCCTGCCTCAGGGCTCAGCCTGAATCTCCCAAGGGCGTGGGCCAGGCGGGCACATCTGGACGCAGGAGAAACCAGAAGCATTTGCCTGGGAGACAGTCTGACACACGTGGTTCTAAACTGTCCAGCGGGACCCCCCGTGGAACGGCCCCCAGGCCACCATCCACACGGCTCTGCCCCCAGGCTGTCAGGTGACCTCGGGCCAACGGTGTCCTCAGCCACGTGGCTGTGGGACCCTTGAGGGCCACGCCACAGGGGGACAGAGCTTCCCGAGGTAGGAGCGGGGACCCGCCCGGGACGGCTACCTGCTTTTTGAGCTTCTTGGTGGAGTGGTAGTCAACGAGGGCCACGGAGAGGGCCACCGTGTGGTCACCACCCACCAGCGCGAGCAGCACGCCTGTGTCCGTGGCAGGGCGGATCCGAGCCGTGACCTCTATCTGCCAGGTTGTGTCCGTGCCGGCGTCCGCGGGGTTCCGAGCTGCAGTGAGGGCGGCACGTCAGGAGGCGGGGCCGGCCGTGGTGAGTGGGGAGGAAGCCCCTGGGAGGACACGCCTGAGTGCCAGGGGCCTGTCCCCAGGAAGCCGATTGTGGGGGAACATGCGGGCCCTGGGGATGGCAGCCCTGCCACAAGCCCCTGGCATGGCCCCCGGGCCACACAGGCCTGCCAGGACTGAAGGCAGGCGTGACCCGTGGGCCGCGGGCACCCTTCCCTGGCAACCCCTCTTCCTCTCCCACAGGACACACTGGAGCGCATGGCCCCCTGCCCCGCCGCGTCTCCCCGGTGCCCTTCCGGCGGCTTGACCAAGTCGCACGTGGTTGGAAGCCCTCAGAACGCGCCCTTCTCTGACCGCACGGCTCCATGCCCCACTGAGCAGCTCCGTGCTTAGGCGCCTCATCTACGTATGTGACGTGGGTTTATGATGCACGGACGTCCGAGGGACAGACACGCAGGCTTCCCCCGCAGCTCCTGCACAGACAGGTCCAGAAAGCACATTGTGTGGGAACGGCTGGATCGTGGTTCTCTGGGGGTCGCTACAACACCCATTTCCTCTGGACATGTGAACTGTCTGCTGACGGTGATGCCCGAGGACCCCCTCGGCCTCACGGCTCAGGGGCTTCTGTCTCAGAGACCGTAGAATCTTGAAGGAGCCGCATCCGCTGGAGCTCAGATGCCCTCGCGGCAGGGGCGTCAGCACCGAGGTGAGCCACGGCCTGGGTTCCTGAAGGTTTCCAGTGGACCGTGAGCACCGGAATCATCTGTGGGGTCCCGGACCTAAGAGGGTCTGCTACAGTCCATTTCCAACAGCCGTCTAGTGACTCGAATGCACGTGAAACTGGAAAAAGCCCAAAAACCAAGAACAAAAGCCAAAAAAACGTGGCCAGTGCGGCCTCCTGTGTCTCCTGGCTCTGAGTTTTCCTGTGACGGGACCTTCGGCCCCGGCTGTGCTGGGTGGTCCGTCAGCGGGGAGGGGTCTCCCAGCTCCAGATGCTGCTGGGGGCTGACTTGGGGACGTCCCGAAGACGCTCCTCTGAGTTCGGGAACGGTGTCATCGGAGCTCTGTGAGAAACGCAGAGACTTGCAAACACCCAGTGGGCTTCACGACCGAGGCAGTCCACAGACGCGTTCGCAGACCGTGGAGTGTGCAGTAGGGGACAGGGCCCCCGTGGCTTCTGCCCAGGCCTGTGTCCCCACACAGGAAGTGTGGATGCTGTTTGAAGGAAAGGTCAGGAAGTGTTTTTTACGACGAGACTTTATAGGAAACATCATGATGACGTTTAGACTTTCCTGTGTAACCATGAAGACTAAAGGAATAACGTGTGTTATACTGGTGGTTCTGCTCCCAGAAATCCCTTTTGTGGCACAGGAATGCTTTGACAGTTTTTGCAAAGATAGAAGGGGCGGTGATCCCAGGGCTTGAGAGGACAGCAGCCTCACAAGGAAGGAGGAGTGGGCCCCGTGTCCTCCGCGTGGGGGGCCCATAGTGGCTGTGGGGCCTGTGGCGGGGGTGTGGCCCCAGCCCTCAAGGCCAACGAGCCCAAGGAGAGAGAGTGTGGGTGCTTAACCAGCTCGCCATCTGGAAGAGAGGGGCTGCGAGTGTCACCTGGAGACAGACCAAGCCAGAGATGGTCCTGGGGGGCCGCGGCAGCCCCCCGAGCCTACCTGCCGCAGGGTGCTGGCCAGAGGAGGGGCAGGGAGGCCCCCGGAAGCCAGCACACAGGCAGGCACCTGGGCCTGCACACCTGCCAGAGACCCTGCAGGGCCGTGGGCCTGGGCACTTTGCTGGGCCAGGTACCAGCCCTGCCCGGACTGCAGGCAGAGTGGCCAGTAAGGGCTCCAGTATGAGGGAGGATGAGGGAAACCAGTGGAGCCCAGAGTCGAACAACAGAACCACTGAGCCATTGCCATGACCCACATCGCTCACGCCGGCATCCCAGAGCCGTGCTCCCACAACCTGGCCGTTTCGGACGTGAATGCGTGTCACGTGAAGGGTGACCGCTCCTTGACCAGCATATTAGGGCTCTTTGTTTTTACTGTAAAGTGAATTTGATAATAAAAGGAAAGAGACGTGTGCTCTGTGTGAAGGGAGGGCGGGCCCTATGTTCCAGGGTCGGGAGGGCCGCCCCCTGCACCCTGTGACTCCCCTTGCTACACCGACGGCCTGACAGCTGCGTGGCCAGACATCTGCCACACGTGGACGTCAGGGGAGCTTCGGGAAGGGCTGGTCCCACAGGCCTGGCTTCTTCCTCCTGCGCGGCCGTCAGTGCTGGTGTGGCCGGATCCAGCTCTGTGGAGAGCCCCACGTCCCGGCAACGCGGCCGCCCAGCCCCCGTCCTGCTCCTCTGGGTCTGCTCTTCCTGCCAAACGTGAGCTCTAGAGCCCCAGAGCCAGCCACCCGCCGTCTCTGGACACCGCCCCGCTCCACGCCTCGCCAGGCTCCAGGAAACGCAGTGTCGCGCTCGTTCTCCACGGCTGCTCCGCCAACTGCTCGTCCTGTCCGAGGACGTCCCGCAGGTGTCCCCTTGGATCCTCCCCGTAGCTCCTGCTCCCCCCACCCCGCCGCCGTCCCGGCACAGGCACGGTGGACGTTTCCTTGCTGGCTCACCCCACGCGGGGGCCCCAGAGCTGGGGGGTCATCGGCTTATCCCGGACACCACTGTCCGAGGAAGCGGCTTCCTGCTCTGTCCGCAAGTGCGGCCACGGCCGTGCCCACGCCAGGGCCGAGACTCACCGAAGTCCAGGCTGTAGAAGGCAAACCCGGTCCCAGGGAAGAAGGACCCTCTCGTGGTTGCGGAGAAGCACTGCATCTTGGGGTTGGCCTTCACCGTCTCCTGGATGGTGGTGTCCTCGCCGTTCAGCCAGTTCCAGCTCCTCACACAGCCGTCCAGACGGGGGTTTATCTGGGAGGACAGAGAAATCCCAGTGGCTTCTTGGGACCACATGGCCATGTCATGGGCTCCCAGACAGCACGGCGGGAGGCCACGTGGCTGCTGCCACGCTGGTCAGAGGAAGGGATGCGTGGCTCAGGTAGTGGAGATCTCCTGGAAAAGGGACAAGTCGTGGAGGCTGTTTCCTGAAAGGGCTCCTCAGGGACAGAACAAGTCCTTGCAGGGTCCCCAGTGGCCACACTGGGTCTGCCCACTCACTCCCAGAGCAGAATGTGGACTGTACACCGGAAGGACATGGACGAAGGCGCACATGGTGCCTGGTACCCCCCCGAAATGTGAGTCTGGGGGCCGGGTGGCACACCCAGCACCATGCGCTGGTCTGCAGCAAATCAGGTCTCCCCTGCCTGGATTTATAAAATGGGGAGGTATGAATAGCACCTGTGGGACCCATGGGGTCTGACGCCCCAGGTCATCTGCAAGACACCGTCCTCCACCCCTGCAGGGAGGACCGGGCCAACACCTCCCACGGGGACCTCCACATGCCCAGGATCCTCTTCTCCCACTTGTGTGGGAGTCACCACAGATGGAGGGCTCTGGCCTTGCCATCACACGCTGGATGACGGAGGGACCTTGAGGAGGGCAGGGCCGAGGCCATGCAGGGCTTCGAGGGACGACCAGTACTGACCTCCCTGTTAGTCTTTCTCCCCTGTGGAAATCCTGGCAGGGTTAACAACCCAATTGTTCTTGGGAATGGTCCAAAAAACTTGACTGTTCCTTTTGTTAAAGAATAATTTCATTGTGTTTTATCTCCACTGCAAAACAGGCACTTTTGTTATCGCTTCCGATGAAAACTCAAGTGAATCTCACAGGGACATGGTGTGTTGGGGAAACGGCCACCGACCACGGCGAGTGCTCAGCATGGCAGCTGGCGGCCAGGCCTGTCCTCTGCGGGAGCCCGGGCTCCGACGGTACTCACAGGCTGCACCAGGTCTCTCTCCTTGAAGGGAATGCCTCCCACGGTCAGGTTCAGGTGGTACAGCCCCCTGTCCAGCTGAAACAGATCCCCGGCCACTGCGATCTTCATGACTGCGTCTCTGTTCACCTTGACGACCAGATTCCGATCGAGCTCCTCCACAGAGATCTGGAGAAGACCAGCGCCGTGAGGGGAGGCCTTTCCGAAAGGACCCCGTCGCCCCCGTGGGCCAAGCCACCCCCGACAGCGGGGAATGTTCATGCCCTACACACCTCGCGGTCCCCCTCTGTGACACAACCTCCCTCCAGGCCCTGACGGTCCCCCCAGCACAGGCTTCTCCCTTCACTCTGCCTCCTCCAAGTGGAGCCACTTGGGGCCACTACTCTAGCCCCATCCTGGAGCTTCTCTAAGCCCCCAGGAGCTGCTTCCAGGGGCCGGGAATCCCACTGACATCGCCGCCTCCCACTTGGTGCTCCACTTCCCAAGCATAGCTGCGCCCCTGCGAAGGCAGGAGGGCACACTGTCACCAGGTGCCTGGCACAGACGGGACGCTGCACGCACTGACTCCGGAGGTCTGCACTCTTCCCTCCTCTCCACGCAGGAGAATTAAAAAACCCATCTCTCTGCCCTTTGTGCGTCCTGCCAGCCCTCCAGAAGTCTGTCGGTTTCCCTTCCGGTTCACATGGGAAACATGGAGGTGCTCAGGTCAGAGTGTGGCCAGGAGAAGAGAAAGAGGGGTCAGGAGAAGGAGGACAGAGGGGCTGCCTCTGGGCTGACCCCGCCTTGGGCCACCAGTTCATGCCTCGGGTGGGGCAGCTGTGCTGACCGCAGGTTCTGGGTCCCCGGGTTCCTCACATGGACACTGCCCCCCCCCGGCCCCGCCCGTGACCCCTCCTGCTGCTGGTGCAGAGCGCATGCCCCGGACCGTGAGCGCGGCCACTCTGGGAATATTCGTGCTTTAGGGGCTGAGGAAAGAAGCGTGCCTGAGTTCACAGGAGGGAGATTAGCAAACGTCCATGCTGTTTTCATTGAGTTTCCCATCTTCTCTGAACTTCCAGAAGGAAAAAGAATGCTTTTCTCTCTCAAGTGCTTACTTCTGAAAGCCCACTTCCTACCAGGGGCCCCTGAGCTTCTGGAGGTTCCTGTGTGCCCTAAGCTGCCGTGTTCTGGGCACTGGGGTACAGGTCTCATCAGGACCGACAGGTCAGGCTCTGGGTGACTAGGGCGTTCTCCCAAAGAAGATGCCCGCATGTGAGCACATCTGCGGGAACAGCGCCGGCCCCAGGAGCCGGGTCCTGGGATGGTATGGACACACGGAGATGGGAGCCTGGCCCAGACCTCAGCCCAGGGGCCCCAGCCCCGTCATGGACATTCTGAACTGGGTGGTTTCTGCGGCAGGCCATCCTGTGTGCTCCAGGGTGACTAGCAGCCCCCACAGCTCCTGGCAGCTGTGACCAACAACCATTTCGGGACAGACCGCAGCCCTTGCCCCATCGACTATGAATGTCCTGGAGCAGGGCCTCATGCGGTGGCCACTCACAGCTGCGTGTGCAAATGCACGGGGAAATGCCAGGCCCCCCCCCAGGAGCCCCCAACCCTGCCGACCTGGGGGTCAGTGGGGGCCACACTCACCGTCTGCCACATGCCGTGGTTGATGACAGGCCCACTGCTGGTGACGCGGCTCACACCATGGTAGCGGAGCTGCAGCTCCAGCCGGCCGGCCCGCAGGCCCAGCACGATCCAGGCGCTGTCCTGATGGCCTCCAGCAAAGAAGAGGACGCCTTCAGGGTCAAAGGTCCTGAAGTCAAATTCGGCGACCAGCCTAAGTGCCAGCACGAGAAACAGGTGACACACGGGCAGGTTCCTTGTGGCCTCCCGCCCCAGGGGACCCAGGGCAGCAGGTGCACAGACAGCCTGGGACTCTGTCCTCGACGCCAGAGGCAGCACCCTGCGGAGGCCCAGAGCCAGAGACCGGCTGCCGTCACTGGGCAGGGACGGGGCCGGCCACCGGGCCAGGGATCTGCAGTCCCGGGGAGCTTCAGGCTGGCCCTTGGGCCCCCGTGCACCCGGTTTCGCTCCCAGCCCTTACCTGGTGGGCTGTAGCCTTTTGAAGCGCAGCCTGATCACGGGCGTCCCACTGAACATGCGGCCCAGGTACAAGGACTTCACGCTTTTGGCCACGTTGAAAGGCACGCAGGGCAAAATATCCTGTGGAAAGGAGCGAGGGCTGTCAGGCAGGGCGTACCGGGTGCAACACCCCAGGCACACAGGGTCAGGACGCAGTGGAGCCTCCCTCCCCGCTCGCCGGCCAGGCTCTGACCGAAACCTGAGGCTGTGACAGCTCGGAGAGACCACAGTAGCGTGCCGAGCCGGGGTCAGGCCGGCCAGTTGGGAGGCTCGGACCCCACACGTGTCTTGGAGCCTGAGCCAGCCGAAAGGGAGGGCAGCACGTGCTGCGGGCACAGGCCACCCGCTCCGCTGTGGGTGCAGAGCTGCCCTCAAGCTGTCATGCACGGGACAGACACGCCTCCTGTCCTGCATTCCCTCCAGCCCCGGGGGTACTGGGCCCTCTCGCAGCCCCGAGAGGGATTGCTGCCCTGTGGTCACACCTCACAGGTGGTCATGTCCGGGGACAGCTTGAGGCCTCCGCGTCCGTCACAGTGGCAGGCGTAGCCCCCCGGGGAGTTGACGCAGGCCTGCTCACAGCGACCCTCTGCACACTCGTCCACATCTGTCACCACAGGGGAGACGGGAAAGCTCAGCACACGCGGCACCTCTGAATCTCTCCAAGCGCAGTGTGCTCACCCTGAGAACGAGCTCCAGAGCATGTGACCAGGAGGCACCCAGCCCAGGCCGCACCCCACGCTCCCCGTGCTCCCTGCAGGGCTGGTTAGTGGTCTCTCCCTCTCCTCCTTCTTGGGTTAGAGGAGGAGGTGGGAATAGCCACCAGGTTAGGGCACAAAGCCCGTCTATGAGGGTCTGAAGGGTCTGCAACCATTGGCAGGTGTCCCTGGGGCTGCTTCAGGGGCCCAAGAGACACACCACAGCGGGCATGGAGGAGGGCATGGAGGGTGTGCAGGTGGGGGCCACCCAGCTTCCTCGTAGAAGCGCAGGGCAGGAAGGCTGAGGAGAAAACCCGCCCTCTCTGTGCCCCCGACACAGCAGGTTGACCTGAAGATGGGCTAGAGGTCCCTGTGTCTGTGGCATGGCCCCCCCCCCCCAAATCTGTGCTGCGTCCTGGGCAGTTGGGGGAAGTGGCCCTGTTGTATGAAGACACACCGGGACGCGCGAGTGCGATATGCACGCGTGGGTGCTGTATGTGCACGCGCACAGACAGGCACGCACTCGTGTATGTGCCCACGGCTGTGTGCACACGTATGTGTCACCCACATGTGCGACGCGTGCACGGATGTTCACGCGAGCACACGTGTTCACAAGGGTGTGTGCGTGTTACCCACGTGTGCCGTGTGCACAGCTGTGAGTGCAGCTCATGGTGTGCGTGCTGGTGACAGTGGGCGGAGGGGGCGGGTACCTCGGCAGGCCTTGTCTGGGGAGCTGAACACGTAACCCTCGTCACACACGCAGGAGTAGGAGCCCGGCAAGTTCTTGCAGTGAGCCTCCCCACAGGCGCCTCCATCTGCACACTCATCCACGTCTGCGAGAGAAAGCAAAGCCCTTGACCAGGGCCACGTCTGCCGGTCGCCAGCCCATGGTCGGCCACGGAGCAGCAGCAGCCCGAGCCACTGCTCTGGGCAGTGCTGAGCGTGGCTCCTGGGCTGCCGGGACCCTCCTCCCCTCCTCCCACCCACCGTGCTCTGCAGCCCCAGGCTCAGGCGTGGGGGCGTTTCTGACCAGGGTCCCAGGTGACAAGGGTGATCTCTGAGCACTGGAGAGAGCCATGTTCATCCAGGGGTGAGCACCGGTGCACAGAAAGGTGGAGGAGGAACCCCTGGGAGCCTTCCAGATGGAGGCGCCCCATGCCGATGGCTGCCCGGGCTCCGCTTCCACCACAGTCATACCCCCGTTCTTCCCGATGACAATCAGACGCCACAAGGGTCAACTGTCGAGGCTCTTCCTGAGGTGCCAAGCACCCTCTCCCCTCGGCGAGCGAGCAGCCCAACCTCTGCAGTTACGAACCCGTCTCCTCCAGGGACAGAAGGGGTGTCTGGCACATGCACTGATGACTTCCAACACCAGGGATTCCTCACGGGGCCTCACAACTGCCCCCAACTTGTGATGACGGCAGCACACAGGCCCTCAAACACGGAATCCATAAGGCACCCCTCAGGACCGTGGGAAAAAGCCAGGGTACCACACGCGTCCCTCCAGAGGCAGTGTGAATGCCACGGGGTTCACGGGTCCGTCGGCCTCTGCGTGAGTGCTACCGACCCCGTAGTAGGCTGAGCCTGCCCCAAGTCCAGGAGCTCAGGAACTTCATTTCCCTTGGCAGTGGGGTGCTGGGGGGCCCAGGACGGCACTGGCCACACCATGGGGACACTGCCCTTCTGGGCAGGTGGACACGGGCCGCCCCACACAAAGGATGCCTCGTTGGGGCAAAGCTTTTTTTTTTTTTTTGGTGCAAAGCTGTCTTAGCACAGCCTTCGAGGCACTGCCGTGACAGCAGGCCACACACAGCAGCTCACCGAAGCCCCGTGGCACTCGCGATGGCCGAGGGACAGCATGGCCAGGGCCTGAGAACCCACATCTCCCCAGATCTGGGGCCCTGCGAGAGGGCCCATGGCATCACCGGGGAGGGCCTCCTGTCCTTGGTTGCTTCTAGCACATCAGGTGTCCCAGGCCCCCACAGGAAACGGTGCACTGAGCTCTGCACCCCACTCGCCCACTTGGCCCCATGCCACCCTGCCTTCTCCCACGCCAGCCATCAGCCACGGCCGCAGAGCCACGGGGGGTTGGGCTGGGGGTCCATATAGCCAAGCGCCGTCCAAGGGTCCTGTGACCCCAGCCAGCACCTCGCCAACTGAAAATGCTGCTCGTCACAGCACAGAGACGGGACGGCCCACGAAGCAGGCGGGGTGGGGTGCTGGCACCGGCCACGGGGCCCAGGGAGTCCACACCCAATCCTACTGGGTACACTGTGGCCACAAGGCCCTGTCCCCCACCCACCCTGGGGCCCTCATCAGCTCTCCTCCAGGAGAGGGCCCCACCCGGCCCACCTTTCTGCCACGTGGCATGGAGCTCCCTCTTGCAGCCACGCAGAGATGACGGAGGCCGGACGCTGGGGGTGCAGGGGTGCGGCACGACCCCACTCCCTCCTTCCCAGCATCTCAACGGACGGAAAGGCTGGTCCCTTCCGTACCATAGTGACAGACCTCATACCGCACAGCCTCCCTCGGCTGGGTCTGGGGTAACCAGGTCCCCAGAGAAAGAGGTGGCGGTTAAGAGAGGGTGTGTGTGCGGGTACAGGCAGGAACAGCCGGACTCCCGGCAGCGCAGGTGGGGCACGCCCATCACACTCACGGGGTGTCAGTCGTGCTATGGGAGCAGTGGCCCATGGCCCCCCGAAGCAGTGGGTGCAGGCCCTGCCCTATCGTCCGTCACGCGGTGCTGGGGGCAAGGGCAGCGGGACGCAGGGAGCCCTCTGGCTGTCTCATGCCTCACGACTCGGTGAGTGGGCGGGAGGTGGGCTCCCGTCACTCGGGCTCGCAGGAGGCTAAGCAGACCTTCCTGCGCGGCACTGTCGGCCCGTAGCCCCGAGGCCTCTCCCAGCAGCCACAGGCACACACGCCAAGGGCTGAGAGAACGGGGAGGGGATCCTGGTGCGGCTACACGCTGTACTCAGCGATCGCACCCGACGTGGGGTGCCCTCGCTGCTCCCAACACGTCCTTTCCTCAGGCCGTTGCTGCGCGGGGTCTGGGAAAGGGACCCCTCGTTCTGTCCAACTCAGAGGTTCACCTGGGGCTCCGGCCACTGCGCGCCCTTGCTCCCGAGGCTGCTTCTCCCTCAGCACCTCTGTCCCATCCCTAGGTAGGTGGGCAGCTCGTCCTCTGCAGCCGGGCTGGCCACAGCCTGCAGACTTTCTGGGGAGGTCAGGGCGTGAGGCCCCAGGGAAGTAAGCAGGGTGGGCGTCAGAGGCCGCATTTGCTCCTGGCCCTGCCCCACTGCCCAACCCCATCCCAGGCTGTGGTCACACAGATGCACGGAGCTGCCCCCCTCCCTGGGGCGGCGGGGGAGGTCCCCTCGGTGGGGCTGGCCGGTCCACAGATCCCGGTGAATCATCCTGGGCCAGGGGCTGGGGCAGCTCCCCGTGGCTGCTGACATGCCCAGGCATGTGCTCGGCACGGCGTCCCTCCACCCTCTTCCTGCCCCCCAGAGCCTCTGCAGAGAACAGCCGGGACTGCCGACCTCAGCAATCTGGCATCGGGCTGACTCTGGCAGTCTGGCAACTGCACAAACACAACGGGGGAGGAGCCGAGGGGAGAGCGCACAGCGGGGAGGGGCCCGCAGCACAGGCCTTACCGTGGCAGGTCCTGCCGTCGGGGGCAAGCGTGTAGCCGCTGTAGCAGGCGCAGTAGAAACTGCCTGGCTTGTTGGAGCAGATCTGGCCGCAGCCCCCGTTCTGCTGGCTGCACTCGTTGACATCTGGGCACAGGACACAGAGACCCTGGGGAGTGCCCAGAGCCGACACAGGACCCCCAGCGAGTGCACGGGGGCGAATGCAGACCTCAAGGCACTGTGGGTGGTGATGGTCCGTGGTGCCAGCTCCGTGGCTGCTAGCGCACCCGGGAGGAGGGTGAGGGCTGACAGGGGACAGACCTGGGCAGGCACAGCCAGGCCAAGACCCACACGCACAGCCCCCCTGCCCCGGGGTGGCTTGGCACCGCAGAGAAGGGGTCACCCGAGGTAACTAGGTCCTGGGGCATTTTTCCTGACCTCCCGTCCCCCCCACTGCAGACAGGGAGGCTGGCCCTGAAACTCTGTCGTCCCCACAGGCCAAGCCCCAGGGGTGGCCCTACACTGGCTCCTTCCTTCCAGTCCCGCAGGAGCCAGGCCACGGGCACCCGAGGGCTCCCCCAAACGGCCAGCACCCAGTGCTCGGGGACAGGGCCTGGAGGGCCCTAGGGGCCTGCCTGCCCCTCCTCTCCCTCCACCTGAGTGGCCAGGTCACCGGACAGTCCCTGTATCCCCCGAGGTGGGGTGGGCTGGAAAAGAGGGACGGGCCGGAAAAGAGGGACGGGCCATAGCCACTCCCCCAGGAGCACCCCCAGCCCTCGTCCTCCAGCAGCAGGGCCTCACCTCTGTCACAGAGCCGCCCGCCCCAGCCAGCCCTGCACTGGCAGTAGAAGTTGCCCATGAGGTCCTGGCAGACCTGGGTCCCCTCTTTGTTGCAGGGGTTCGGGGAGCACTGGTCAGGCAGGTCTGTGCCGGAAGAAGGAAAAAGAGGGTCAGCTGGGAGGGAGCAGCTCGGGGCGGACACGAGGGGGCAGGCCCAGGCCGGCGGCCCAGACGGCAGCTCCAGGTGGGAGGGCGGTCATGAACAGCCTGGCCAGACCCTCCTCTGGGGCTGGGAAATCCAGGCTGGCTGGGACGGAGTGGTCCCCTGCCCACTGGGCCCGAGGTAGCTGAGGAGAGGGAGGGGCCTGGCCGCTCAGGGAGTGGGCCCAGACCCCTGGCTGGCCCGAAGGGTTGCATGAGGTAGATGCCCCCACCTTCCCGGCTGGGCGCCCTGACCCCTCAAACCCTACCATCGACCTTCGCCAACACCCTCCCTGCTGCAGGGACACCGCCACACCATCACTGGGTGGGGGGCTGCCCTGGCCCTTCCAGAGAGGGGCACCCGCCCGCTGGGACCTCCTTGCTCGGTGGGGGAGGGGGGACTGTCTACCTGGCCCAGAGTGTTGATCACCAGACAACTGCCAGCTGCTTCAGGGACGATGGTGGACACCGTCCCAGGGAGCCCTCCCGGGGGCTGAGTGTGGGGAGAGCTGCTCACGGGCCACCGAGGCTCCTGATCCCAGGGACGGTCCCTGACTACAGAGCCTGACCTTGGGCAGCAGTGGGCTCCAGGGTGCTGGCAGGAGAGCAGAGCTCCGAGAACCCTCTCTCAGGCTACAGCTGTGCTGGGTGGGCTGGGCAGGAAGGGACGCCTCTGTCCTGGAGCCGCTCAGCCCGGAGCCACTCGGGCAGAGAACCCAGGCGGGCTGGCATGGTGGGCACTGGAGTGGCAGGTCGTCGGGAGAGGGCCGGCCCTGGCTCTCCAGGGCTCACCCCCCAGGTCTCCGGGGAACCTCAGAGAGGAGCGGATGCCTGACGCCACCAGACGTCCTCTGCCTCGCCCATCATGCCTGTCACGTGGCAGAACCGCGAGACGGCCTGGCTCCCATCAGCCTGCCAGCTGTCCCTCCAGCCCTCGTGTGGGTGCGCTCGTGCCTCTGTTCCTTGACAAGCCATGGCGGCCTTTCTGCAAGGCCCGTGCGGACCGTAAACATCTCCCGGGGGGCTCCGCGGGCTCCCGTTCTGTCCTGTGCTCCAGCAGACACGTGCCTGTCCAGACCCTGGGCAGCGTGGGGCCCTGGCTGGGGTCCGAACTGAGGGCCAGTACGAAGGGTAAGGTGACACCGGAGGGCCCAGGGCCGCCTCGCAATCCCTGAGACAGGTGCTCTTCAGAGGCAGTGACGATCGTGGCCGATCTGGCTGCTCTGGGTCATTGTCACCCGAGGGCAACAAGGACGTTTCCCCAGCAGCTTGGTGGATTGTGGGCTCCCAGGCCAACTGGCTGATGTCCATCCCCAGACTCGGCGAGGGCCCACCTCTGGAGGGCAGGTGACGCCCGGCCTGCCACCCAGGGCCTGGCCCAGACCAACCACAGGCCAGTCTCACCCCGTGTCCCCTTCTCCAGGGCCGCGCGTCCTTGGGCCCCTCGTCTGGTACAATCGCTTCCGTTGTATTTACGAAGTGATGGGCCCATCGCAAACTGCGTGGTGGACGGGCGACACTGGAGAGGACCGTCTGGCTCCCAGGTGACCCAGGACGTGACAGCAGCCAGCTTTTCTCTCTGCCTGAACCCATAGGGCCACCGAGAGCCCAGCGCTCAGGCCTGTGTCCATTCTGCTGGCCAGGTGGGCACACGCCACCGACTCATCTCTTCTTTCTTAAAATGACCGACGTTGCCAGCCTGATGCCAGTTTGGTCTCCGCACTGCTGCCCCAGGGCTTGCTCCTGGCCCATGGCCGCAAATCCCCAGATGAGCTGGGTCCCAGCCTCGCTGGCCCTGCCGTCCCCCGGGACTCCTGTCAGCCTGCTGTCTCCACTCCGCCGGCTGCGATCCTCAGCCCCACGGGGCTCTGGGACCTGTCTCTGAGGGTCCCGATGTCAGGGACCTGCATGACGGCCTGCATCCGAAGAACCAGACCGTGTCCGTCCACGGCTCCTCCTGCGGCCGGAGCTGAGCAAACAGGGCGTCCCCGAGGGCTGTGTGACACCCGCATGGTTGTTCTTGGCAGAGCGAGGGAAATGCCTTCTGCCCGTAAGCGTGGAGGAATTGGGTGCAGGAATGAGGAAACTGGGTATGGGAACAGCGTGTCCCCCAGCTGCTGGGGACGGGTGGGTCAGCCCTGTGGTCGCCCATGCCGCCGGACTGGCTGCCCATGGTGACACTCAGGGGTGCAGAGGGGCCAGGGAGGGTCAGGTCGACACCACAGACAAAGGGCCCTGCGGGGGCGGGGGTGGCCGCCGGCTCACGGCAGGAGCCCAGAGGGCCCCGGGGGAAGGGCCTGCGTCTCCACTGGCCGTATTTGGTTCAAGAGCTGGTTGATTGAGAAACGCGTAACCGTGCATTCGGCATGAGGGTGGGTTAACTCTAGAATCTGCCTAGAACGCCCAACCCCCTCAGTAAAACCTCAGGGTCCCCACGTTCAGGGCCGAGACTAGCTCCCGCAGGCGGCACTCCCATGGGCTCCCGCAGAACACACAGCCCAGAAGACTCCACTGCGTCTGGTCCCCGCATCCTGCCCAGTCTTCACCTCTGGCACCGGAGGAGGGGGGGAGGGCTGCATCGGGGTATCTGGCCCTTGGCAGGGGCCCCGCAAACTCCGACAGAAAGAGCTGACATCCTCGGCTGGTATGGATGAGAACAGACCTCTGTAGCTGAGGGCACCCGCTCCCTGCCTGGAGGACACAGGGCTCCCCTCGCCCTGAGGCGGCCGTGCTGCCTGTCGCGGGCACGTGGACCCCACAGGGAGCCTCTCTCAGTGGCTGCTGATCCCCAACCTCGAAGTGACGACCATTTCTAACGTGGATGACAGCTCCAGGTGGCGCCCAAGGTACCACGGGGAAGGGGCCAGTGCCCTGAGGTCTACCCGCGAAGGTGGGACGGGAGCAGGAAGAGAGCCCCGGGCCTGGAGCCCATCGGGGTGAACACTGAGAGGCTGTTGCGTCGATCTGAACGATAACGGACAGTCAAGCACTCAGCTGCGCCGCGCTGTCTTTTGGCCCCCAAATCAGAGGGTTTTCAGGACGGAAGTGATGAAAACAGCGTGACGTTGCCAGCGCTGTCCTGCGTGCACTGAGGCCGGGGGGTCTAGCTCTGGGGGCAGGGGGCGGGCAGGGCGTGCATCCTTCCTGAGCCACGGGCCTCGGGCCCTGTCCCCCGTGAGGATGGCGCTGCATGTGGGGGTGCCTCAGGCTCCGGAGAACTGACGGGCACAGACAGCATGTGGTCACACAGCGGTGTGGGACCACGTGCCCGCCCCCGGAGCGGACAGCTCGAACTCATTCAGAGCCAGTCCTCGCTGGTCACACAACTGGAACCCCTCTAAGGCCACACGATCTGTCTCACGGCACAATGTGGACCGGGACGGCTGCAGCCTCCCTCGGAGGCAGACCTCGGTGATTCCGCGTGAGCGCCGTTACGACAGGGGCTGCCGTCTGGCGCGGGCGCTGTCAGGAGGCGTGAAGCACCACGTAGCTTTTTATGATCTTTGCGATCAGCTACAACGGTCTAATCCACGTGGCCACATGATGTAAAAGAAGAAACTGGTTTAGCAAACTGACACCTTAAAAAAATTGCTAAAAACAGAAAGCCGAAATGACATGAACCTAAACTGCTATGACCCCCCCCCCCCCCGCCTCAGGCCCCAGTGAGGTCGCCAGGCCCTTGGAGAGGCCAAGGTCACAAGCTGACCCCAGGGAGACCAAGGTCACGGGTTGACCCCACGGAGGCCGAGGTCACAAGCCGACCCCAGGGAGGCCGAGGGAGGGGGCCTGCTCTGGGTTGCCCACGAAGCACGGGCACGGGTTCTGGCCACCCTGAGTCAAGAGGTGCTTCTGCCCCAAATCAGAGAGGCCGGTCTGCTCTGTACCTGTGTGGGGCTGCCCTGGGTCAGAGGGGAGCGGGGGCCTGAATGGCGGAACCACTTCCCTCTCCTCTTCCCGCGCTAAATCGATCATTTCCCCTGCTCGTCCGGGCCGGGGCTTGGGCCTGTGACCAGCGCGGGGATGGGTGGGTGTCCGGATGCAGGGGCACTGCCCAGCCAGGCCAGCCGGGCCCCGTGAGCAGCATGTGGAGCCCCCTGACTTCTTGGCACCCGAGAGGGGCGGGCCCCACACGAAATGCAGGAAGGGCCCACCCCGCGGCGGGGCCGTGTGCTCAGAGCCTGCCTGCGACATGGGGGGGGGGCACACGGACACCTGGCTCGGGGCCACCGGCAGCTCCGCGCTCAGACCCCAGCCAGGCCCACAGTCCGGCCCGGCGGCCGCGCTCGCAGCTGGCTCAGACGCGACAGGACAGCAGCAGAGAGTCCGCTCTCCTGCGGGACATGTGAAGTGACGTTACCACCAGCACGAAAGATGCGTGAGGGGCTGAGGGAGAACCGCACTACCTTTAGGACAAACAGCGAATCAAGAACTCCTACGAACTGAGAGAAACGGGCAGAGCCCAGACACGGGTCACTTGCGGGGAAAGAACACAAGGTTCTAAGCACGTGACTGTCCGCCTCACTCGCTAGTGAGAAGAACAAACAGAAAGGCCAGCTTCACGCCTCACCGTTGACATTGAAGGAGACCGAAACGGAGAAACACACGTGAGCCCGCAGACACGGGGGCGGGGCTGGTCACCCGGCCGGTGACCGGTCTGCATGGAAGTGAAGGACGGCGCAGGCCAGGGCCCGTCCCGCAGACACCCTCCACCACGTGAGATTTGTTTGTGAAAATAAGAAACCGGGAGGAGCCTGGAAGACACACGCCAGCTCCCGTGGGTGCGCCGTGAACTGGCAGGTGCTCTGAACGCGCCGAGGGGAGGATGCCCTGCTCGGGGTGGGGGGCAGCAGAGTGGGGTCGGAGCACGTCTGCGGTAAGCCGGCGTTTGTGCAGAATCAAGAGACTGTGCGTATGAGGTGACAGGTCTAGGACTCTTCCGGGAGCCCGGCTGCTTGACAAGGAGGCACACCCAGAGACGTGGTCGGCCCCACAGCCCTGAAAGGGGGTTAGCCGTCACAGGGCTTGCGTTTCTTGCCTATTTAAAAAACCAAACCTCACTTGCTTAAGGGAGAAAGTCCAGTGGAAAGGGAGCAGGGCTCAGGCCAGTGCTCCACCCCCCCACACCCAAGACCCCACAGCAAAGCCTGAGGTTACCCCGATCCACAGGGCTTTGGGGGACAGGAAGGACACACTTACTTTGAACACATGAAACGAAGTCGGGGCTCTTTGTGTACGGAGATCCGTATTTCCTAATGCAGTCTGCGAGAGAGAGAGGGAAGCCCGTCACTCTTGTCGCCGGAGACAAGACAGACCTTAGAACTCGCGTGTCGGGTCTGAGACCCTCTGGAAAAGGGTATTATTCACGCTTACTCGGGCTGAAGCAACAACACAGTCCCGATCCCTTGAACACTGGCAAGCAAGAAGATGCCTTCACGAAAGGGCAGTACTCTGTGTGCCAAGGTCTGTCTGCAGCCTCTCCACAGACGCCTTCGGCTACAGCCCCAAAGGATCACTGGTCACATTCAGGGAGTTTTCTGACCCCAACCAGAGCGTAAAGCTTCAGTTTCAAGTGGACCCCCATTTGGAAACACTGCCCTTCATCCGAAAGTCATTCTGCTTCGGAGTGTACCCCCCCCGCCCCACCCATCTAACGAGCTGGGTGTACACATGGGAGCAGGGGAAGGTGCCTGGAAACTTGAACCTGAGCACAACAGTGTTGAGCCACGTCCCACCTTCAGCAGGGTCCCCGGTACTACACCATGCCCAGGAGGACAAGGGCCCAGGCCGCCTGGAGGGGGCTCCTGGGATAGCTGGTCATTCTTCGCCTCTGGAAGCAAACCCCAGTACCCGGGAGCCAGGCCTCTGAGGCCGACAGGGAGCCCAGGAGCCAGAAGGTTCCTGGCTTTTTAGGGCCAATTATAGGTCTACCTGGCTTTTGCCAGATACCAACCCCGAGAAGGAACCCTAAGAGGATATAAGGCCAATGGAAAATTTACCAAAATGCACTTTACAAAAATAAAAAGGGAGACCCTGGATTAGATGTATCTTGTTACAAGTGATATGCATCCCAAAATTTCTTAAAATGAAAGTCAGGGCCTCTTTCCGATTGTCATTTGTCCTTTCACTTTCTCTCCCCAAGTGCACAGGGGAGCTGCCCAGAGGCTACCCGCATGGTGACATCCCTACTCGGTAGCCTGGGTGTCCGCTCATACATTCCTCTTGTTCCAATAAAACAAAAACGTTGTTTACTGTTCTCAGTTCTGACTGGTGACATGGCCGATACCAACGTGTGCAGCCCCCACGAACAGGAGTTCTCTGGGATCTTCAGTCATTTTGGGAGTGCCAAGACCCAGAGACCAAAATGTCACAGACCCACTAAGTCAATCCCAGCCCCAAACAGGAAGTGAAGCCTGGAGTCCGAGCAGAGAAGCCGTTTGCCAACAATGGCGCTGGACGGAGGCTAACACGGACCCTGGGGCGTGAAAGGCACAAACAGGTGTCCGCAGGTGTGCTCCGGGAGCTGACGCAGGACGCGTGTCCCCCTCTATTCCCTTACGACGACCACAGAGGCAGGGACTCAACTTACCTAAGTATCTTGGATAAAAATAGTCCTGCAGAAAAAGAAGAAGGGGCAACAGTTTACTGGCACAGCACGAGGCTCCCCAAACAGCCTCTGCGCCGCTGGCCAGGAACCTCATCTTCCTCCCCAGCGGGCGGGAACAGATGTCTGCAGAGGCAGGTGTCCGAGGAAGGTGGGAAATCCCCACAGCTGGCCCCGTAACGGCCAGCGAGAACCACCCAGAAAGCCACTTTCTGCCAGAAGACCACAGCGTGAGGAGGGCAAGTGGCAGGGCCCAGGCTGCTCATGCGGCCTCTACAGGACGTTCTGCATATGACCGCAGACGTGATTGGACCTTCTGGAAGCAGCACAGTGAGGTCATTTACGGGACCTCGGTGGAGCCGTGTAACGTGTCTCACAGGACAAGGCGCGTCCCGGGTACCATCATCCAGACCCTCCCTGACACCAGGCCCCTCCCAGAGCTGAGCAGACCTCGATGGGACAGTCGCTGCATGGGCTCTGATTTGCATCTGCTCTATTTGTAAAAGAAATGGGTGCTGGATGAGGCACGGAGGGTGTAAACGGGGTCCTTCTGTCTGCGGGCGCGAAGGAAGAGATCTGCAGGACGCAAGCTGGCTGTCCAGCGCTAGGACCACCTGACCCTCGCTGGCCAGCAGCAGGGAGCAGCTGGGACCGGGCCAGGGTCCATGGCCCCAGCCACAGATGCCAGGCCACGGGCCACTCAAGGCAGCCCCCACCCGTCCACTGTCGTCTCCCACGTAGGGTCCATCGTGGAGCGGCTTGGCCCCAGACACCCCCACCCCCATGGAACCGAGTGACGCGGGAGCAGCCCCCACCAGCTGCTGGGCCGTCTGCACAGGAGCGTCCGCCGCTCTGTCCAACCCGTGCCACCACGGTGAGGTCGGTTAACTGAGCCCTGCTAGCGGAGATGAGGAGACGGGCGTTCACGACATGCTGTGGCCCATGCCTGAGGTCAGGACGCCAGGACGAGCTCTGGACAGCACGCGGTCACCCAAAACCATGCTGACGAGAGCTGGCTTGTGTTTGTAGTGCCAGGCAGAGGGGGTCCCGGGGCTGCCCATGCGCTGGCCCAGCTCAACCCACGTGTCCCTCCCCCACCACTTCCCGCAGCCTGGGCCAAGGTGCCAGGCACACTGTTTTCAGAAAGTGATGTTTTAGTAAAGATGTGGTTTAAACAGACACGTAACTGCTTTAAGAGAGAAGCAATGGTCAGAGCACGTTTGTTTTTCAGCCTGTGTGACAGTGAAGGGGCCATTCAGGCAGTTGTGCAGAGGCCAGGACTGGCCAGGCAGGGACGTCCCTCCACACCAGTGTTCGGAGGCCCCTGACCTCCTGGCCTCACTTCTTTGTGCTTTTAGTCACGGACTGGCAGCTCCCAGACAGGAAGGCCAGGCGAGGAGGGGTGCCCTGGCAAAGACCCCAGAGCTGAGGTCAAGTGAGCCGTGACACCTTCTGGGTCTTGAGGGATAACTCAGGCCACAGACTTTGTAACAAATGGAATGGCTCTGGTTCTGAAGGAAAGATTTAGGGTGGAAGCGAGACACACCCACTCAGGAGACCAAGAATCAGACTGGAAACAACGGGGAACCGTGAACAGAGTACCCCAAGTCATCATAAACGGTGGCATTATCACAGTTTTCCAGAAAGCTCTATCATAGTTTCCAAACCATGACTGCTGCTAGTTACCTGTCGTATGTTTTGATAATGAGGTCTACCACGGAAAAGCATCACTGACCGGAAAACCGCACGCACCCCCTGCAGGCAACCACATCCGCGGGAATGCGGGTTCTGAGACCACGGGCCGTAACCTGGTGAGTTTATCCTACTTTGTGTGCTTGATTTACTTGGGGTGGGGAGAATGCTGACCTGACTGCCCATCTGGGGACAGGACGGACAACCTAA